GAGAAACCAACTGAATGACTTTAGAGCATCGCGAGATTCGTAGGTAAAATATAAGGTCATTTTTTAACCAACGTTGTCCAAAGCGTCACCGTCGTCATTTCTTTAGGGACCTTAAGCAAACCAGGACTGCGACGGCAACGAGGACATGGAAAAACAAAAGATCTAATTGGCAGAACAATGGCTCAGTACGTGCTTTTTAAAACTTTGTACATTTCTTAGCCGTCCTATGCAAAACAACAGCATGAAATCACCACAATTTGCGTCGTCTGCGAACCGAAACCGCGACGGCAAATTATTTTAATTTCCATTTGGAACTTAACGCTTTTTTTATACGTTATGCTGAAGTTGAGGTGTGGTCCTGTATAAGACGGTAAACAAATGAAACCATTTTTGAAATTCTAATTAAAGGCAGAAATTCATTTTTTTAATCAAAGTCTTCCTTGGCGTTTCCGTCCTGACTGCTTAAGGTCCCTTTTAACTCCCTAATTATCTTTAGCACTCTGAGTGGCAACGCAGAGGATGACGTCAATGAAAAAAATAGATTTACATTTTTAGTCAGAATTCCGCCAATGGCTGAATGTATTTGTCATCTCTTACGGCGCCACACCTCAACTTTAGCATCACGTTGTAAACAAATTTGAGTTCCAAATGGAAACTTACATAATTTGCCGTCGGGGTTTACGTTTTCAGAGCAGGCAAATTTTGGTGAGTTCACGTTGTTGTTTTGCAGAGGACGGCTAAGAAATGTACCAAGTTTTAAAACGCTCCTTCTGAGCTATTATTCTACTCATTAGATCTTTTGTTTTGCCACGTCCTCGTTACCGGGGTTTGCTGAAGGTTCTTTTACAAACAAACTCTTGTTTTTCTTTGTTTCGTTATTTCCCTTTCTCTTTCGTTAACATTTCTTACTTTTAAAAATCTTTCTTTTCTGATTCAGAACGCCTGCAGCAAAAATCAACTCTGCCAAAATAACGCAGCTTGTCATTCTGGTTACACAATTAAGGGATATCGATGCACGTGCCCTCCTGGATTCGAGGGCGAATATTGCGAAAAAGGTACGTTTTATATTTCCGCACAAATGTCGCTCTGATATTCATGCTAGCACAACGCTACTACCCGTGGGTTGATTAACAGTGCGTTTGATTGTTTAACGTGTGTCTCGTTTAGTTTGACGTTTATACTGTACTCCTTCGAGTTTTTGCAAGGGGGGAGGGGAGAGAGGGGGTCAGGTTAGTTATATTTCATTCCATACGTTTTATCTCAACGTCTCTTTAAGGAGAAAAACGAAGTGTCTCATCACACGCAGAGGATGCGAAAGTACGCTTGAACTTGCATTTAATTCATCTGAAAGGTCTAAATGAAGAAACACAGGAAAATATTAACGTTACAAATACGAGGATCGAGAAAAGTGTATGGTATTTGCTGAAGCAGTATGCATTGTTGGTGGAAATCGTGAAACTGAAAAAAGGTTCCTCCGCACTCTCTTTGTTTTCTTTCTCGTTATTTGTCTAACTTCATGTTTATTTCGATCACCTTTTTAGATATCGACGAATGCAAAACAAATTCTCACGATTGCAACGCAAATGCCTACTGCAATAACTCAAAGGGATCGTATCACTGCTTCTGCAAACCTGGATATATCGGAAATGGACGGAGTTGTACAGGTAAAGTCGAGACCTTCTGAGACCTCTGGGTTCTCATATGCAAGGCCTAGATACAGAAATCCTAAAAAATGGCCCAAAAAACTGTTCGAAAATCGTTTATGTTCTAAAAAAACCCCATTTGACCCTGAAAACCTAACAAAATCCGGATTTTTGTATCAAGCCCTATCATAGGCAGCAACTGAAAGGATATTTATCATTTTATTTATCTACCTTTTCATTTATTTGTCTCTTTCATCACTGATTATTTGTTTTTTTTCTGATTGCTTCTTTTGATATCGAGCCAGTTACAACACTGAAAGTCGTTTACTTCTTTTAGATCAGAGCGTTTGTTTCTATTCAGTGTTCAGTGTTGTAAATTCAAAACAAAAGCAATATCAACAGCCAATCGTAGCAAGGGAAGTATCATGAGGAACCAATGAGAACTCGAAGTAAAAATAAGGAATCTGTGGGAAACGCGAGTGACCAAGTTGTGATTGGTTTTAGTGTTGAATCTGATTGGTCGAGAAAGTGGGGCGAACTTTCTGGACCAATCAAAGCGCGAAGTAAAGCAAGAACAAATAATTTTTGGAGAGAGCTATACTTTTAAGACTATTTGCTCATGATGATGGTCCACCACTATAAACTTTTACAACGGTTTCCTTTTGTTTCTCCCGTTCAGTTGATCCATGTCAACTCCACACAGTTCTAAATGACGAGGATCGAGACATAGAAAACGATGAAGACGATGAATGTGACAGCCAACTAAACGTTGGCTGGTATCGTTTCCTAAACAAGCCAGGAATACGAATGCCGACTACGTGTCCACCGACTGATTCAAGATGTGGTACAGCATGGCCAGGTTGGTTAGGAGGAGTTCATCCGACGGTGGAGGACGGAATAGTAACGAGGGCTGTCTACTTTCGAAGACGTACTAACTGTAAAGAACTAACTGTACACGACATTGAAGTGAAGAACTGTTCTTCCTTCTTTGTTTACCTTTTGAGACCAACCGGTAAATGTACGTATCGTTACTGTTACTCCTCTAAGTAACCATTTCATCCCTAAGAGTAACTAGCATGTAATTTCTCCTTACAATATCAGCCCTGAATCGGGCATTAAGGTCAGGAGAATGAAGGAAATGATCAACAACTAAAGAAGCTTTAATTTAGATGGCAAAATCCATTAGCAAGTACCTCAAGAATGTATAGAGAACAGTATGGAGACTATGCACACTGATGTTGAGGTGTAAGCAAAACTGTAAAGACAACTGAAAAAAAGCTAGTTTTCAGTAATTGTTTACGTTTTTTGTCAAAGGGATCAAAGAATGGTGTGCCTTTGTAAAACTGTAAAGATAAAAATATAGATAAAACGCCAAGCTAGTAGTACATAAAAAATTTAGTTGTAAAAACTTACAAGGTGGTTCGAAAACGTCATTATTTATCAGTTATGTAAAATTCGTTCACCTAAGTGGCAAGACTTTTCGTAGATGTAATAAATTTAAAAGGATTAAATGAATCTCTTTTACGGGTATATTTGCAGTTTTGGCCATGGTCGGCCATGTTAGATTTTGATAACTCGAACCCATAATAGCTCAGTTTTTCAGTTTTCTCTTTCAATTCTTATCCTTGTTCTATCATGTTTCCTCTCTTATTAATACATAGCTTCAGTCTATTGGAACGCTAATCAGTCAATTTAGCCAATTTTACATTGAACTCAATTACGCTGGTACACTCATGATAGCGTAGCTGCAGCGCTCACAGAACCCTTGCAGGGTATCCATAGTAAGAGAATACGGTCGGGTCCATAACGGTTTTAACGCCAGCAAAAAATTAATCAGCTGGAGCTCCGCTTTCCATCTTGGCTTAATCTTTGTTTAAATTGAAAAATACAAGCCTGAAAATAAGCTTCCTCTAGCTAGTTTGTAAAACGGAGATTCGGATAGTTTTGCTTGGTTATAGAAATTATTTCCAGTATAAAAGATCCTTGACGTAGCTCACTTTCGGTAAACACGATAATTAATTTTCCAGAGTTGTGTCATGACCTAAATGTCAGAATTAATATATAGTATTCCTTTCAACTGACAACAGATAACGATAGCGATGATAAAAAAAAACAATTAGAATTTACAGAGCAGAAACTACATGAATGCATGATCAAACGCACTTCACTGAAAATAAAAATTCTTGTTGATGATGAAAGCTAATTAAAATTAATATCAAGTTAAAATTAGTAAAAAAGTAACAAAATTTAATAATTCCCTTGAGAGGATAAAATTACCACTAAGGCAACAACCTTAAAGTTCACCTGAAAAGGTAAGTCTTGAGATTACGCTGAAAAATAGATATGGTGTCCAAGCCACTGATGTTACTAGGAAGACTATTCCAAAGGTATGGGGTTGCAAAGGAGAAGACCCTTGTTCCGAGTGTAGGAAACATCTTGCAATTTGGGACCAACAGGAGAAGTTTCCAATCAGACTTTAGTTCGTATTTGGTAGAAATCTTAAAACAAATAAACTTACAAATATAATCAGGTGCTTTATCATGTCTTACTCTTAAGTATTGTAAAAGAATCCTGAATTTCATACGGTACGTACTTAACTGACAGCCAGTGTAGCTGGAAAAATATTGGTGTTTTCAAATTCTAAAGAGAGAGTTTCCTCGACTGACACTAGAAGCGTAAGGTTGGTTCTTGCATGTGAACCAGCTTGTTGTCCTCTATGATTCCTGCATGTCAACATTTCTCCCGAAAATATTTACATTCTTCTTCCATATGAACGTACGCTTATTTTGTTAAAAAAAAAATAGAAATGAGGTATTAACTTATGCGGCATTATATTTTGTACCCGTTAAACGGTTAAATTTGCTTAATAAACAGTTTTTTTAATTTTTCCATGATCGGGGATTATTTTTCAGCCCACACAAGAGGTGTACTGACATTCGCTAAAATCAAGGCCAACTGCACGCTTTGCAGCAACCATCAGATCTCCCTCAATTGCCTCTTCCGGGTTGATACTGGGGCAAGAACACTCCAGCAACAGACTTTCGTATGCGAGTTAAAACAAACCTTCTCAACCAAGGTAAGAGAACTCCACAGATTAAACCTTCAAAACGGATTTGGTAAGTCGACCAGGGCTGTGACTTTCACTTAAGCACACAGTAAATCGCATCCTCTCTAACGCTGTAAAAATTATCTCCAAAATCCTTCCTACGCCGCCAATTTAAAAGCATGAAAATTGAAAGAACAGAATTACATTTATGAGCGCAAACAGCACTAAAACACAGCCGACCCCACTCCCTTGAACAGTCAATTACCAATGCTACAAAAAATTCAAAATAACTTTATTTGAAATGACGTTCGATTGGGCAATTAAAAATAAATACAGCGTGATTCTATTAATTCAAAAAAGTTTTCTAAAAGTTCTGACACCAACCACTTGTAAACTGGGTCCAATCGAATTTACCTTGTACTAATTGTGCTAGAATAAACAAGATTCTAATTGCGCATTTTTTCTTAACTCTTGAACTTTAAAATCATTTCCGTGTGAGTTAGTTTGTTGTCCTTACTATTACATAACATTAGCACCCTCTGAGTCAAAAGTTGAATTTCTCCTTACAATATCAATACAACATCAAGCAGGTAGGTAATGAGAATAACGAAAAATATTAACAACAGGATTATTAGATGATCCAATACCAAATCCTCTGAACTAACATCATAAGAATTGTACGGCAGATAGTAAGGAGAATTACCAATGAGATCTTGGGGGTGAAAGGGTTAAGGGTTAAAATTTCGTGTATGTAACAAGGCTGAGTGAATAATTATGAAGAAAAGTTAAACGCCGATAAATTCGAAGCTTCTAATTTCCCCCTCTCCCCCAGGCAACTCAGTCGTCCGTGCTCGGGCGTGGGTAACTTAAGCCCTGTCTAGATGGGGTGGGAAATTTGAACCGGAAGTGTCAAGTATTCCAGTGGAATAAACGTGTTTTACCGTATAATATGCATGTATTCTGGGGTAAAGAGTTCACTTTCGCAAGCCTATGGCTAAGAAGAAAACTTGAATAATAAGACCAATTGCTTATCAATGACCAGAAAGTCACAGTCGCCGATCTTGCTTTTCACAAAAAAAATTGACCATCAAAGCCGGGACTTGGGTTGGGTATTTGAGCACAATTTTGGCCTTGGGGGACGGGAATTTAAACGAACCACTTTCCAACTGTTCAAATGCCCAGTAGGGAAGGCGGGGGGATGTTGAAACTTCAAATTGATCGACGCATGATCGACGCATTAATCTTAAAATCAATTATAAATTGGACTGCAAGTTATTGTGTGCTTCAAGAATTATATCCACCGGTCTTTCAGCTCTTACAACAAACTTACTCTAACTGTCTAGTTGGTTCAATTTTATTCTATAAGTAAGTGGTAAGTAAACCCGACAGATTTCTTGGTTTCGTGGACGTGACTGGACACAACGTTTAATGGCATTCCGATAAAGAACAACTTGCCCTCTTAGGGACCTGGTACCGGGTTGAGCAATCTCTGTCTTCATTCGGACGCCAAACTAATACGCAGTTAGGGAGCTCCCAACAAAACCTGCAGCACTTTTTTATCTTACACATTAACAGGCCTTCCCTTTCAGTTATCACTTCTAACATTGGTCACAATAAAGCCGAAGTAATAAAAAATATCAAAATCCTGGGCTAAAAAAAATCATAGAACTATTTCCTCATGCATCGCAATCGCTAGCGAATGATCACTGCCTTAAATAGAAAAATATTGTTAAATCAATTCTATCATAATATTTTCCAACCAGTTAATATCGATTGGCCAACCATGAGAGGAGCGACCCTCGGCCAATTCTCGTCAAGAAACACGATTGTTTTCGGATCCCCGAGCAATCGCCGAATACGATCTCGTTCTTGGAATCAAAAGTAGACTGAGAGACGTTTCACGAGATTTCTAACGAAATAAAAAAATTTCTGCGACATTAAGCTGCAACAATGATACAAATCGGCTCGTGCAACATCGCCTTTTACAAAACTAATTGAAAAGATCCTAAACAAAACATTTTCAATGAAATTTCTTCTATGCTATCAATTTTCAATCAGCCCTCGTTCAAAGGATGTGGTTCAGGCTAAACTTGGTACACCTCATATTCTGTTTGTCACTTGCCACAGACCTACTGATCTATTTTTCAAAAGTTAAGAACTAATTTAATTTTCAGCTACAAAGTTTCCGGAATGAGCAGCCACAAGAAATCATGTCTTAATTGGAAATGTTTCTTCTTAGGAAATAGTTACCTTGGGCAATCCCACCAAAGTGAATCTCTACATGCTCATCCAAACATGAATTGCTTCTGTGATCTAGCAGTAAATAGAGCTTCTTCTCAGTCCCCAATCGTTTATATAACGATGCAGGTAAATACGCTTGCCACATCGACGGTTCAACAAATAGTTTGAATCACGAAGTACCTACTTTCGTCCGCTCTCGTCTTCTGCTTAGTTGATGACAAGAGCGTAAGCTGATTCCCTTCTCTCCTGCCTAGCTTGCCTTATCCCATCAGATTTAGTGAAGTCCACCTCAGCGTACGCACTTCTGATGGGAGCAGATTTTGGCCCTGGCGACCCGCGCTGACACGAGCTTAAGTCTATGTTCGGAGGTCGTCGGCGCTGACGACTTGGAGACTCAGAAGAGTTGTCGGGATTGCTTAAGTCGAGCATGACGTAATTAAGCTGCTTAATTTCCTCATCTTCTTGAGTTGTGTCTAGTGGTGCGATAGTCACAAACTTTGGCGTCTGTATTCTGGCTGGTTCACTGTCTCTTCTGTAAGAACGAGGTGATTTTCTCCATCTTTGTCCTTCAACTTGAATCTTTCCAGGAGAAAACTCGTCATACTCTTGGGCCTTAACTAGGCCGGTGTCCGGATCGTCATTGACTGAGAAAACGTCATTTATGCTACTTTCGCAGATATCCCCTGGAACAAAGTTTACGTACTCGGGCACATCTACTGCGCTTTTGCTTTTTGTAATACCTCTGAGATCAATGTTTTCGTACGCGCGAGGTTTGTCCAATAAGACAGACTCCAGGCTATGCTTCTTAAAACTGTTGTTCGAGTTCTTGTCATCAGTGATCTTTCCGGGACTAAAGTTAACGTAACTGTGCATATCTTCATACGAAGATGAATCACCTGAGTTGTTGAGACGTTTTAGTGAAGTCGGAATTTCTAGATATTTCCCCCTGTTTGAAAATTCTTCCCCAGGGGTAAAGTTTACGTAATAACCGTTCGAGTCCTCTTTACGTTGTCTCACATCGGGGTTCGGAGACCGCGACCTCGGAGAGTTCATCCCGGGCGAAAAATTTACATAACTAGGAGATCCGCCTGATTCTACAGCGAGGGGACACATCGAAACATAATCCTGGCTTGATCTTCTGCGGGAAGAGGATGGAGACATTTTGATGGCAACGAATTCACGAATGTCTGGTTTGTTTGGCAACGCACTTTCTGTGGTTCTCAGCTGCCTGGGAGACGACGATTTGGACTGCTGTACAAACCCAGCCCGCGGGCTCGAGCTTTGACTCTTCGCAGTCCCGTTTTGTATGTCACTGTGTTGTTTTCTTAGTGACGTCATGTCCATGTAGCCCCCATCGGGGGCTGTGTGTGTCGTTTTTTTGTTCAGCTGTTCATTGTCGACGATCTTAAATGCTTTCACAGCCTTCGACTTGGTTGCCTCCATATCCACGTAGGAATCACTATTTTTGCGCTAAAAAAAAATCACATAATGGTGACCATTATTGCTCTCTCCTCCCTCACTACTCTGCTAAAGTTTAATATTACCCTCCTCTCCCCCTCCCCCTTCCCCTCCCCAACTATCACCAGCAATCACCTCGTCTGTGTTCTACTGTGAGTTGTCAGTCACGAATGCAAGATAAAGGAAGGACATACCCAGGTGAAGTACTACAGTGACAAGCTTACTTATTTTTTTAGGCGAAAAAAGAAAAAAATCAGCCGACCGATAAACACGTTTAGACAGGCTACCTTCGTTCCCACCTACATTTTTTTCGCACACAGAGAACATAAAGATCCCTCTTGGGTCAGCTCATAGACTTCTTTCCGTCTAATACCTCGGCCGTACAATTCACACCTTTTCGACCGAAACAGACCCACCCTCCACTCCCTGGCGCTGGCTTGGTGAGAAAGACGATCAAAGGAAAACTTGAGACAGCAAAGAGTCTAAGCAAAAGAATTTGATACTTACGCCTCCAGTTACCCCATTCATCGCCATGTAATCCTGCATGCTCGATGTTTCTTCTACATTTTTCGATCCAAGATTCATGTACTCTGTTTAAAAAGGAATCACCATTTGTAACATATTTAAACAAGAAAAATATCTGAGTATTTTAAAAAAAGACAAATCACTGTCGATACCAAATCATCCAGCCTCCCATTCCCCGTTCAGAGGCCAGCGGTCCACCCCTTAGTTCATACTTTTTTTAACAAGTGTTATTTCCAAGCCGAAAAAAAAGTTTTAGAGTTGTGGTCGCAACTGAATTTGTCAACAGCTTAAGTGCCGATGAAAACTAAAAGTAAAAAACAACAAAACTGCTTAGAGCACGAGAAAAACGCAAACGATCAAGTCGTGATTGGTTGAGAAAGTGGCACGAGTTTCCTGAACCAATCACAGAGCGAAGAAAAGCAAAACCAGGCCCTTAATTCCATGTTTTTCCCCTCTTACCCGGTTGGTCATCTTTCTGTTCTAGTGGTTTTGACGGGGGGCGCATCAATACTTTGTCACTGAAGTCTGAATTTTTTTCTTCTTGGTTCTTGACTTGACTTTCCGAGCTCATATTCAAACCTAAGAAAAAACTAAACATTAAACCTTCTTGCAGATTTTGGTAGGGACTCAATGGAGTTTCCCAGAACTATGTAATCATGTAATGAAGGATTCCCATAGCGACATATCCATTAGCTCCTGGCGCTTTACAATAGTTTGCGGGGAACTTTGGCCAGACTGCATGGATCAGTTTACTATTATAAGTCTTCAAGGTCATGCGCATCATATCCGGGGCTCAAGGGTCAAGAATGACTACATAATAAAAAGATAAATCCAAATCAACTTGCAGATCGCAATATCCTTAAACTGTACTCAACTTATAGGCTCTCACACAGGAATGGCATTTAAGGAATGGGCATTCAACCCTCGACCCACCCCACCCTTAAAGTATCATTGCTTGACTCTTTCTTCTCCAACATCAGTTGGTATAGTCTCCATACTGTTCTCTACATATTTTTTTAAAGTGCTGAGAAGGAGAATTTGTTTAACAATTAAGAGCTTATTTAGTTGCTGATCATTTCCTTTATTCTTGTAACCTTAATGTGTGATTCAGGGCTGATAATGTAAGGAGAATTGCGATTTTAGTCACTCTTTGGGGTTAAATGGTTAAAAAAAAGCTGTTCATCGTTCAACCAGGTGCTTGGAACCCTATAAAAAACAGAAAACCCCAAGAGGGACAGAACTTCAAACCTTTGAATTTAACGCTTCGATGCTTCAGTTTTCTCCTTAGTCCTAAGCTCGTGACACAACGGATGTGTTCTTTCTTCATTCGACGAACAAGCTTGAAGCTTACTATCTTTCTTATTTCATTCACTCAATGTTTTTTAGAAATTCCGTTTGAACCTGTGCAAACCTGTTACACAATATACCAAAAATCTAAATTTGTGAAAGGGTGCCAATTTGAAGCTACAGTTATAAAACACATTTGACGACGGGCATAATCAAGCACCTAGTAAAGGTAGAAGAGTCAACTCCTCCGCCAAAATTACGGGAAATTAGGAGTAAAGTTATATTCACTCATATTCAGTGACATAATAATTTGAATAGCCGGCGAGCAGCCCCTCGTTGTTATCAGCGGTGCAGTACTCGTTTCTCCGCTCGTGGGAGGATTTGAAATGAGTCTGGCACTAGTGCTAGACTCTTTGCAGGCCTATAGCCAGGCAAAGAAAAGTTCGTGCCAAAGTGCTGATAACAAGTGCCTGCTCGCGGGCTCAGTGATAAAAGACGCAAGTACCTTCCTTTGATCTTCTCCGCGGCCGCAAGCGATTCAACACAGATGACGTTTTGTTCTTGGGACTTTCAAACTCTGTTAAGTTCCGAGTTGAAACTGAGGAGCTCACAGTACGAACCAACGGATTCTGAGAAGTTGGCTCAGTGTCTGAACGACCACGGCTGGGTGGATACATGAGAGCTGACACTGGACGAGGTCGAGACTTTCCTCGTTTTCCTTCACTATCACAACGTCGCCTAGGAGCCGGTGGAAGATCAGATGAGGAGATGTTGTGCATGGCGCTGTTAATAGTTAAAAGATACAGGATTAGTGAAATATGACAAGAACTAAGATTTATCATATAGACTACGTGTAGCCGTACCCTCCCCCGCAATGTGAAACGGAACAGAAGGAAAGTCTACGAAAACCTGACACTAATCGTGTTCTGTGACGTCACTCTAATCTATGCAAATTATGTAACTGGATAAGTTTTTTTTGTGAGATTTCACCTTGGGACGGGGGGAGCACGGCTGCGCGTATGCTACTTATTATACATTAGACTTCCTATGAAAAATCTTATTGGTCGAGAGCACTCAATCAGTATACAATAGCGTTGAACTCAACATGATAAATGCACTCTCTACAGTGGATATTACATTTATCATGTCAAGCTCAAAGTCTGCTTCGTTTCTAAGCCCCTCGTCCGTGTAGTGTTCACTCAGAGAGAAACTCAAAGCTATCAAAAACTGTAATATAAAACAATAATTGAATTCAGTTTTCCAACCAAGTCACGAATTATATAACTTCACATCTGTGTTATCTACCACGGACCTCTCTTTTGAAAATTCTTGATGTCATGCTTAACCTCGTCCAGTAATTGCTTTTTGCTCACAGGCTTCAAGCACAAATTTTTTCAAATTGTCTCTGCTGCAAATTCTACAAAGCAAAAGCAATGATCACACCTTGGACAGGTGGTTCAAAGTCATGCAGGAAAAGTTGCAATAAATCCTTTCACTCCTAAGATCTCATTAGTGATTCTCCTTACCATATAACTTTTACAATGTTAGTTCAGAGAATTTGGTATCAGATCAACTAATAATCCCCTAATTATATTTTCTTAATTCTCTTTGTGTGTCTGCTTGATATTGTATTGATAATGTAAGGAGAAATTCTGTCTTGGTCATTCATGGGAGTTAAAAGCGTAAAGGCAAAACAAGGTAAGTCTTCACGCAAACCAAAGCAAGTTCAATGCAGTTTCTGTTCCATGATGGACCTGGGAGTGTTCCCAGTCCCTCAGATGTGTAGTCCATCACAGATTATCCTTAGCATTTCATCAGATTTCATGACCAGTTTGCCTATACCCCAGTGGCAATTATATCCCTGAGTGAAGGGGATGGAGGGGGAAGCAACTATGTTCTGTTCAAGAAAACAACAAAAGAAATCCTCTTGGGGCTTAACCTGGTTCCATGTCTCCCCAGGTAGGTAAAGTCTGTACTTGAACCAAGTGGCACCAAGTGACAAGGACTATTACTACCCTCCCCTTGCATGGAATGCCAGTCCGGTGCAAGGTTACCCCTCCTGCATTTAATCAGGCTTCCCTAAAAATTTTTTCCAACCAATTTGTACTCCTAGGTAAAACACAGCACTGTGAGAGTAAAGTGTCTTGCCCAAGAACACAACACAAACAATGATCCCTTCCCCACAACCCCACCCCCTGGTCTCAAACCCAGAACCCAGCATCTCCCTGATTATTCAGCAAACGTTTACAAGCTAATGAAAACAATTTACCTCAATATAGCTTCATGCATGTTCTGTGCAATAACTTGATCATCAACCTGAATCCACAGCTCACCAGCCCCAGTGGCTGCAGACCTCCCAAGCTCCATAAAGAAAAAACAGTCTGTATGGCCACAGCGTCTAATATTGACCAGCTGCACCTCTATGGCTGGTTCTTTGGTGTCTTTTTTAACCAGTGCTAAGTTGCAAGTTGACAACTGAAGGTCATACAGACCAGCAAGGTTCTTGCTAGTTCCCAATCCCCTTGGTTTCACAGCGACAGGCCAGGTTGATACTAAAGGATTTAAAAGAGTAAAGGTGACATGTAGATGTTACTTGGGACACCACAGTCTCATGAAGATGGGTTAAAAAGGGCTCCATCTTTCAACAGCTGTCCTTCATTAAAATGGGCACAGAGTGATTAATTAAGTTTACAACCTGATGGATCTTAATTAAATGTCATATCTTAATCCTTCACATCCTAACATCAATATGCAAACTCTCCACACTATGCTGTATATATTTTCTAAGGAGCTGACAGAGAGAATTTGTTTAACAGTCAAGAGCTTCTTTAGTTGGTGATCATTTCCTTAATTCTCATGACCTAAATGTGTGATTTTGGAATGACATTGTAAGGAGAAATCAGGTGGGAATCACTCTTAGGGGTTAAAAAGGTTAACAGAGTTTTTTGTGATATAAAAAAGTCTGGAGTATTTTCTTTCCCCTAGAAGGAACGCTTGTCCATCACAGAAAGCCCCCTGCCCCTACCCCCTGTAACACTACACCATATACTGGACCAGACCTCATCAATTTGAACAGGGTGTGCTAACCACTGGATAGCCGCTGATCTGGAAGAAGCTCTTGATTGTTGAACAAATTCTCCTTTTCAGCACCATAGGAAGTAAATAGAGAACAGTATGGAACATATGCATACTGGAATCATTTTTTCACTCCTAAAGAAACTGAAGTTAATCAGCCCACTCAGCTGGAGCTAATCTTAATTTTGTTTGCAAGAAGCCTCTGGGAGTAGTGCTACTCTTTATGGCTGTAGGCTAGACTATGATAACATAAACTTCAGCCTTTAACTTCCAAAAGTAATGAACATGTAACTTCTCCATATAATATCCAAAAACAAAAATACTCAAACTTATTTGGTGGAAGTTTTTATCTTGATCTGATGTCAAATTTCTTTTACCAATTTACAAGGAAATATGCAGCAGTCAAAGGCGGAAATTAGCGATCAGATCTTGGAAGTTTAAGAATTTCCTGATCTGCCAACCCCTGAAAATATTGAACCAGGAGACAATTTTTTTTTAAAAATTTTTCAAAACAGCTTGATTTAATTTGGGTTAAGATTTCTCATTTTACTTTCGTCTAGGAGTTTTAGTCAAATTAACAGGTTATCTGGATTATTCATTGATGAACTCTCCTTCATAAACTGAACCAAGAGAGTATAGACATCCCATGCATCAATCAAACATCACGCCAAATTTTGCCTTACTACTTCTAATGACAATTTTTAGAAACTGTTTCAGTTTCCATGGTTAAGTTTAGTCAAATATTAATTGATAAGCTTTTCCATTTAAAAATGTAAACCTGCAAATTTTTTTGGGATGATTTGATGTATACTCCCCTTAAAATTTTCCTTTCAAAAGCCTGTCACCTCCACCCTCCCCCAAATACATAATAGGAAATACCATTAATGAATAATTAAAGGTTTCTTAGACAGCTGGTGTACCATGCTTGCCAGACCAAAATAAGACTTTTGACAAAACCAGTCCTTTCTTATTTTTGGAACCTCAACAGATGGGTGAATACGTCAATATCACTTTGCATATTTTTTTTTGCCGATTTGTGCAAAGAGACATTATCATGATAATATAAATTTGTTCTGTCGTCTCACAACAAAGTCAGTAAATGTAGATCGCAACATTTCCAGCTACCACCATGAATAACTACCTATTTCATAATAAACATACTCATGTTAAGTGTTGTCAGGGAAAAGACAGAAAAGAGTCCTCTGTTAATTTAAATTTAGAAGTCACTATAATGCAGACCTTATTTCTTTTGAATAAGAATTGAAATTTCCTGCATTGTTTTTTTTTTCAAGAAGTTATAGCAAACAAGAAAAACACCTGTACAAAGAAAAGATGTTGGCTTTGTAAACACACACAGGATTTCCAGAAAAATACCATATTTCAGGAAATAATTATTTGGCTTGCAATGCAATGAACCCTTTAACTCTAAAGATCTCATTAGCTATTCTCATTACTGTCTGTTATGCAGTTCATGTCATGTTTGTTTGGAGAATTTGTTATTGGGTCAACTTATAATCCCCTAATTGATATTTTTCTTTATTCTCATCACTTGTCGGCTTAATATTGCATTGATGCTGTTAGGAGAAATTCTCAGTTGGTCACTCATGGAGGTTTAAGGGTTAACGCCTGAACTACAGGAAACTGTTTAATCATAATTTACTTGTATATATTTTCAGGGAGAGGGGGTTGAATGTAAGTACAAGCTAGGATTATGACATAACTAAAGTTTTTAATTTTATATATTTCTAGTGAAAAGCTTTTGAAAAAAGTAAATTATAATCATTTGAAAAGTTGTCATAAATATCCTCACCCCTTCCCGGGTAAAAAATGTTTCAACCCCCACCTGGTAAATGGGTCACAACGGGTAATAAACATGCAAAGGAGCAAATCCATAATAACAATGATTTCTAATTGCATGATTCCATGCTGTGTTGTCATCAAAGAAATCACTTACCAGATGCATTAAAGATCTCATCTTTTCTCTTCTCTATATTCAATATTTTCATCCAAGCGTTCAATTCGTCCTCCGATTCCGCGATTAAGCCAAAAACATCTTCCCGTGTGTACAAAGCAAACACCAATTTGTGCTTAGAGTCCTCTTTCTTTGCGATGTTTAGGCAGCTTGCTAGGTAGATCACTCGCTTTGGTGGGCCTTTTGAGCGGAATTTCTTCTCGCTCTCGAAGTATTCTAGTCGGGATTTGCCTTTTCTTGGCGACGAACGTAGAACGAAAAATCGCTTTTTCAGCGTCTGTTGAAAAATAACACACGATCAAAGTACTTTGTCACAAATACTTGTCACGTATTTGTAAGCGCGGTTGTTGCTGTGAACATTTCCTGCGTTGTAAAATTACGATCTGGAGAAAAATATTTTCAAAAATTCGAGGAAAAAATTATGGCATGTATAACTAATCAGTAATACCAATCAACAAAGCACGGATTTGCATTCGCATCAACGCGTTTAATTTCCTTACAAAGAAAAATGACATTGTCTTTCAATTTCGTTCACATGGGCACTTGAATTCGCACTGAAAACAATGGGTGAGTTTAACAAGTTTTAGGTCCCGATCGTAATAAATAAATAGGAAAAACATTTTCAAAAATGAAACATTGAAAACACTGACGCAAAACTGTAAACGATTTAGACCCGCACACAAAAGACAAAGGCAAGCTTTTAAGCTCACAAATCTCCTTAAGAGAGGGCATACAAGCGATGTAATTACCCCATAACGAAAATCGTGTAGTAATGTTTCAATTTATGCAAGGCTTTAAACAATCAAGATTCTCTTACAGATCTAGATAACGATGTATCATATAAACTTCACCATTATCAACAGAAAATCGTTCTCGAGAACTCAAAATTCGTTCAGAATGAAAAGCTTAGACTACGTCTAAACATGCTTGAGTTTATTGGGCAAGAGTGCAAATTAGACTGTATAAACAATAAAAAGCATTCAAGGAAAACTAACAGGACAGACCCCTGGTTGAGGTTCACAACTGATTGCAAAATGCCGCAGAAAATAACAAAAATACTAAATAACATTCAAACATTCAGCGTTTACTGCTTACGATCGATCCAAACTTGAGCCAATATTTGTAAATTACAGCGAAAAGAAACTGCCGATCGAAGAATCTATTGCAACGATTGAGCGCGCACATTTATCAAAGAGATCTTTACCTTCAGTCTCCGAAGATGTCCTTCTTTTACAATATCTCCATCGTCCATAATGTCTGATTTCCGGATAACCATAGAAAGCGATCGCCAGATTCCAAAAAGTATCCTTGTGCCCTTGGACTTTGACGACACTTTGCGCGCTCCAAATAAATGGTAAGATTTCGAAGATTTCGAAGATTTCCAACTGGTTCGCTCGTAGCAAGTCACCCCTAGGCACTCGATGTCATTTTCGATCTAGTATTTGTCATGCTTCATAATAAAGTTGTTCTTCTTAGAGTTGGACAAAAGTGCTTGAAAGGCAATTATCTAAAAGAGAAGTCTTTGTGAAACCCCATTGCATTTTTACGACTCAAGTGATGTCTCTCTTGTGGCAAATCGGTACCAGTCTCCACCAAGTGGTGTGGGAAGCGATATGAGAGAGTGCGTAGCGTGATAATATTTCGTGATCCGATGTGATAACAACGGTCTTAAAACGAGAAAGAATTTATTCCTCAGGAAGTACCAGAGGTGCTATTTTTTTTATTTGTGCTCATTTTTTTTAATAATCGTGTGCAAATCTGACAAAGGAATTGATGACTTATGGACGTGGACGTGCTGACAACATAAACTCGCCCTAAGCGGCTAGGTGTAATTATGATGGAATAGAAACCTTCTTTTAGTTAATTTGCTTCTTTGTTGTTCACGAGAAGGCGACAATAATTGTTTTGACAAACTCTTAGCTTCCATTTCATTTTTATTTTCCCTCCTTCAAAAACAACAATAACATTTGAAATCGTGACAACGGCATCAGAAAAATTTCATCCTTCGTAATTTCATTGACCGTGAAAAATGGAAATTTCTGATGTCCAATGTACATTTTTCTGGATGTTATTTCGTAAAGTTTAATGTAGAAAATATTGAAACTTTCCAACTCACCAATAAATCTTTTGTTTTTTTGTATGGCTGATTTTCAAGCGCGAATATCATCACACATGGAGGGTGTGCTTCTTCCTCAAACCGGTAAATATTTTAAACAAAAAAAAGAGTTGACCGGAAATTTTACAGCTTGCCAATACATTTCAATCTTAAATTAAGGAACAAGAAACCAGCCTCGAGGCACCTTGCAAACTGAACTCAGAAAAACACTATAATTAATCCACCTCTAACTTTTTTTTTAACTGAAGGAAAAAATGCTTTATGAGACCTACAGGTGAGTTTGGTTCCCATACAAAGAAGGGGAAAAAATAATACCTTAAAAAACCACTTCTCAGACGTTATGTAAAACAGTTCAACAGAGTTGAGTACTTCAAGTAGGGCATAATATCTTTGATCTAGTTGTTTACTTTTCCTTCTGCCAGTATCTATGACAATGCAAGACTCTTATGTATCAAATAAGCACAGTTACTGTTATCGGAAATTTGTATGTTGATGCAGAAGAATATTATTTTTCACACAAAAGATTTCGTGTATGAGAACAGCTGGGATTTAATTGTCCATTTCTGTTTCGAGTGTGCATGGCTCAGGAACAAAATTTGGTCCGAATTAACTTACCATGTTGACGGTCTGAACCAATAGCGAGAAGTCATTAAATTTATTCTTCCATACCGAAACCCAGAAAAGGCTGAAACATTTAAACGCATGATTTCTTCGCCATCAAAAGATGCATTAGGGCTGCCTAGGGGTACCAAATTAAATTTCGATCGAATTCAAAGCAGAACTTTAATTATTACTAACGAGAAACCTAACGACGTTTCCAGAAAGTGACACAGTTCTTTACACGAAAATACGGTCCGGACTTTCTGGAAGCACTTTCTCCTTTATTTATCTGTGTCGGTTTCAATACGAACATACTTGCTAATGATTTAAACCCACGCTTCTTTTTTATCGTAATGTTTGTTTACTGGGAGAGTTTTAAGTATGCTAATAGAGAAAATTGAAACGTACGTCACACGAGATATCCGCTTTCGACCAAAACATGCAACAATGGCCAACATTACGAGATTTAAAGATAAATAAAAATAGCAAAAAAAATTGCAAGGCTAAATGTTATCTACAAACTGCTTTGCATTAGAGAATTTCCTAACGCTAGCATATTAAAAGAGACAACTCACGTTTTTTTGGCTCATACGAGAAGATAAGTCTTCAGGCGTGCAACTTTAATCCATCTGTAATTCATCCTCGTTCTATTTCAGTTAATCTTATCTCCAAAATATCTCACCCACCAATCAACTTTTAATTCAAAGGTTTCGTCTCACTAGAGGATACTACTATTATGCTGTAAAGTTACTTTAGTCATGTTCTGACCGAAAAACAGAGAACTGGAGGACTTGTGTGTATTCGTTCACTCCTATTGGTATTACCGATCAAAAAACACCGATTTTTATGGAAAACAAGTTTATAGGGGCAATAAGGTAGTATATTAATAAATAACATATCCAATATTGAAATTAAAAATTCCGGTTATGATTTAACGTGAGAGGAACTGGGACAAATTTGCAAGGAAAAGTACAAGATCCTTGTATGAAGAGTACAAAATTCTTTAAAGTTCCGTTTTCGCAGCAGTTCGCAACGTTTTTTATTCATTCTCGCAAAACAATACCGAGAGGTCAGCGTGGTTCGGTGGTTATCAGAGAAAGGAAGACCAATCTACGCAATTTAAGTTTTCCTTTGTCGGGTCCGCTCTTGTTCCTTTCCCTTCAGGGGCTGAAGTAAAATCACTATGCAAAATGACCAGAAATGACCTTAAAATTGATGAACCATTCTACAGTGAAGTCGTTAAAGATGCGTTTCGAGCACGTATCAAAATAGAGAAGAAAAATTAACCAACGAAAAAGATGTTTCAAACTTGACCCCAAGTTGTCTCAATCTGAAATATCTTTAAGATGAACAAGAGAGATACTGACCAGAATAAGATATTAGGATATTCGGTTTAAAAGTGGAAAAATATTAATTGCTACAGACTTCCGCTTTCAAGATTCTGCGCACTAATTCCCTTCCACAAAGTTGTATTCGTGTACCGTCGACTGTTCAGTTCGTTTGGTCGACGAAGTTCAAGCCAACTCATTTTTAACGCAATCGATGACCTACTGCTGGTGCCCACGGTTTTTACTGAACCTGAAATGAGCATAGAGTTTATCATAGACCGAGTTACAACTTCCAAAACACGTAGCCGATTATGATTGGAGAATATTAAGCGGTAACTCCTTGGACGGCTTCCGATGGTTCCACGAAAAGGCGCCGGAAACGTCGCTAATTCCCCGCCTTCATTTTTTTTTGCCCGGTTTTCCTTTTACGCCTTTTCCCTTCTGTGTTCCTCTATTTTGCCGCTGCATAGTTTGTTGCTTCCTGTGTCGAGCTTTAAGTATTTGTTCCTTGGATTTTAGTTCGTTCCCACGCGGTTTGAAGCTTTTCCCCGCCACTCCTTTCCTGTTGGCCGAGTATTTGCTTCCACTGTTACCTAAAGCGGGAAAAAGAATCACAAAAACCAAAATATACATTAATCGCCCCCTCGACAACAAACTCCTTAGGATATCACACTAATGAGGAACAGCCTGAAATGCAGTTCCGTCTCTGCCCTGAGAATTCAGTCGCCCAAAACGACGGTAGCTCAGAGCAATGCATATGCTTAGAAGAAAAGGAAAAAAAAACAGTCGAAGTCTTTGAGGTCGTTTTTACCTTTCTTGCCTCTTCTATATTCCGGTCTCGCTCCATTCTCCTCACGATCTTCGGATCCGGGAACGTCCATCTTGTGTCTTTGTAACCAGTCCCGGTAGCTAATTATGATCGTTAAAGAGGTGAACAGAAAATCTTTAACTTCTTAAAAAATGGTGTCATTGCGGCTTATCTGGCGCTGACTAGCAATAAAGCAAGGCGGTTTTTAACGCGGTAGTCGACTGAGGAGCCGCCTTCTCGAACACATCAAAACAGGGAAGAAGATAAATCTCTCTTTCCTTTACATTCACTTTTGACACTGCGCGTGCGTTGCCCCGCTGCTTGTAATAGGATCATTATTTCGAAAACAAGAAGACCCTTCATTGAGAGAAGATCATAGAGTAAAAAGTCATAATAATTTGGTACGACAGAGAACATCAATAAAAGGTTCAAAAAGAGCAAAATGAGAGAGGATGATTAAGACTACTATGGAGTGCAAATATGGAAATTGTAAAAATTCTAAGCTTGACTTTCTAGGGATCAGAGTGCTTCCATTGGCGTTTGAAGGATACATGTTTTTTCTGTAGGAAGCTGGAATCCTAATGCCACTTTCAGTTCGGATTTTCTTTACATTTCCATCCTCACCAACGAAATTTTTCCTTTTACGATCCCTGTAAAGAAAACGAAAGATATTTTCTTTCCTTTCAGTCAGCCATATTGTACTCATAACACTTCTAAAACTTGGGTGTTCTATAAAACAATATCCTCTAGCTGAAATATCACTTTATTTTCATCACCTGTCTGCCTGAAAGTATAGTGAAATCATCATTAAAAATTGTTTCGTGAATAAAGGGGGTAAGTTTCTAAGGGAACTTTAGTGCCACGTTGGTTGAGGAGTGTAACAAGATCGTTTACTTTTATCAAATGAGTTGAAAATGTAAATTCGCCACCGTAAAGAGTTTCTTCGTCAGAGTGAATTCGCTCTGACGAAGGGCTAACGCTTGAAACGCCAGCTCAGAAACTCTTTGCGGTGGTCAATCTGCATCATCAATTCAGTTGATAAAACCAAATTAAATTGTGTAATGGTTTGGCGTAAAAGGGTTATAAATCCAAAGAAGAAAACGCTGAAGCTCCTTAAAATAAAGAAGGAAGAATATGGAGGAATATATTCTCAGTTTTCAACAGTTTTGCCCCCTAGAAAAAACATGTTTTGTTCGACGCACTGATCTTGTTCTTTTGGTCTTGGCAAGAGGTATTTGAATCCAGAGGAATATGTTATTGTCGTTAAGGTCTCTTCGCCAACATGTCAACTTGCCGACATTCCAATTCACCCACAATCAAATCGCCGAAACCTTTGATCAACTCGCACACACCATTGTTTAACTTGCCGACAACGTCGATCAGCGAAGGCGGAGTAACCAAAGGCCACTGTGGCGAGTAGACCAAAGGTGTCAGCAAAGTGACCAAGTAACGTCCTCAATATTTACCATTTTTTGATTGTCTTAGCCTGTCGCATTCCTTCAGCTTCGTCAGCTTGTATATCCATAACAGCGCCAGATACGTCCTTTTCAAACGACTTCAAGCCAAGCCTGGAAAGGAACAGTCATTGATTCAATTTTTCCTCACTATGACAGAATCGTAGTAGTCTTATACTTAGCGTTACGGACTCCACATCGGAAGGTCCCGTATCAGGAACTATGTCAAGGACCAACCTCGTTCCCAAGGATAGAGCGTGAAAAAGAGAGACCCTAGGAACGAGGTTGGTCAGAAACTGGTGTTGTGTTAATCAGCCTGGAGAACAGATGACATTATTTTAGAGCGCAGGTTAGCAAGAAACGATAGCAGAGACGAGTGCTGCGTGACTCTCCCGCGACAAACGCGTGGAACGTGTCTTTCACTTCATTCCTTCCTCGCTATCTCCTTACGCTAGCCTCTGCTCGCCTGAAAGATGCACACAAAAAAAAACAAAAAAAAAAACGAAAAGCAAGATAACAACAGTCCAGCAAACTACGTGTTTCTTGCGTAATGATTGTGATGAGTTATTGTTGTAAATAAAAGCTTCTAGAAATCTCCAGACTGCTTACTCATGCTGACTTGCATACCATAGAACTTTCCAGAACATTTCATCGAATCACGCAGTTATTAATTAATACTACAAAAATAGTTCTTTTTTTTCGTAAGCTTCTGGAAGGTTTCAGAACACTTTGTGAATGTATTTAAAGATTCACTTATGTAGTAGTAGTTAGACTGTTTTGAAAGCTATACCGAGAGAAGGAATTTGGAGACAGCAGTGAGATTGTGTCAGTGGTGAGCTAGGATATAGACTGCGGTGGGCTTAATTACGCTAATTAACGATAAGTATTGTTCCGCTTTTAGGAGTCGCTCCTTGTTAAGAACATTACTCGCTGTTTAATAAAGCAGTTGAGTTTGTGGGATTGTAGTGTTTTTCTGTCGGTTAGATCATACCGTAACAGATGAAAGAAACTAAACCTCGGTGTTTCTCAGTCAGAGTAAAAAGAAAAAAAATAGCTACAACTGTCTTGCTGGCTATGGGCTCTTGGATGAAACACCTCAAGCTTGACCTTGACCTTGCAACAACTCACCCAAGTCCTTTCTCTCCGTGGTGATCCGCAGCGGTATGGGGAATGTAATTCTCGTCTCTGAAATTTTTGACAAGGCCTGACAACAGAAAGAGACAGTATTTAGAACTGTTATAGCAAAATAAACCATATTGAACATAATGCTTTTACAAACAGTGCGAACCAATTACCTTCAGGATCAAACTTGGACCCTTTATGCTTCTTTTTCTGGCTAGGATCAAACACAGTTGCGAAAACTCCCTAGAAAAAGAAAAAAAAAAGGGAATGGGAAGATGCAAGCAGAATCAGAAAGACAATGCGCATAGAAATAAAATACTAGTCTAGAAAAGGAAAAGGAGTAACGCCTTAAAAATTGGTGGTCAATCAAGCAAATATTAGCCTCCATTGGCCTTCAACACAAGTCATGGAGGAGCTGTAAAAAACATTTTCAACAACAAATGAAAAATGATCGCAGGTTGCTCGAAGACTCTTGTCGAACAAACTGAGCTGGACCTTAATGGACATTCTTCATTTAGTAATCTTACAAAGATTCGTTTTGGCTGGGTAATGTTTCAGCCGAGATTCTGTAAAAAATTTTACAGACTTGTACACATACAATCATCGGACCGTCATTTCTACGATAATGTTAGTTGTACGGGCACGAAAAATTGCATTGGGTTCAATTCTATGTCATGCGCTTTCTTTGCTCTTGTAACATTTTCCTTCTAATCAACATCTTATTTTTACCCTTTCTTACTCAAGGGTCTGCTCGTATTTACTCACTTGGATTTCATCTGTAGTTGGACCGGTCTCCTCGGGCTCTTGTTCGGCACCACCACCCCTCCCCTGATCAGAGGTCAAATCATCTAGTTTCAGCCGCCGAGCTCTTTGAATTACGTCACTGTGACGTTTTCTGCAAGTAGTCAAACCGAAGGGGAAAAAGAGGTTTGAAATGCACAGGTTGTGTGAATCTCACAAGGATTACTTCCCTATTTCGAGTTTGAGTTTCGCATTACGGTCCCTTATGACCAAATTCTCACTACTATTTCAGAAGGAAATGTGTAGAAGCTAAAAAGGAGAAACGGAAACGGCTCTTGAAAGCAAAAGGATCAATCACTTTCAAAATCAGACTCACCGTTTTGACATCATAATGGATTGTGCCGTAGATTTTGATGTTGAACCAATCTCAAAAATAGTCTGCAGAGGAGATACAATAAGACATAACACCGAAAAAGATCATACTGTTGTATTAATCCCAAGAATAAAATGTTTACATCATTCTGTTTCTTAGCTAAACTTAACATTTGAAAGACTGCGGAAACCGTAATCCGTTAACCCCTAAGAGTGACAAGCATCTAATTTCTTCCTACAATATCACCCCCAAAATCACACATAAAGGTCACAAGAAAAAAGGAAATGATCACCAGTGATAGAAGTTCTAGATTGTTCTACAAATTCTCCTCGTCAGCACCTTAGTAAGTGTATTGAGAACAGTAAGGAGAATATGTATACTGATGTTAGGGTGTAAAGGGTTAATCCGTTGATCCCTTTGAGTGACTAACATCGAATTTCTTGCGCTTTCAGAGAAACAATAATTTGACAAATACATATGAAAAGTCTTTCACCTGTTTAGGTCTAAAGTTCTTCACACCATCCAAAATGTCGACCTTGGTAGATGTCGCCTCTTTGGAGGATAACTCTACAAAAGGTAGTTTGCAAAAACCAAAAGAAATAATCGTTGCTACTTTCCACCACAATTATTCAGTTATATGAATTTACTTTCACTCGTGACCATAAAAACCTCGTTAATCCCTAACAGTGACCAGCATCTAATTTCTCTATACATAATCACTACTGAATCAAATATCAAGGTAATGAGAATGAAGGAAATAACCAGCCAACTCAAAAGCTGTTGATTGTTGAACAAATTCTCCTGGTCAGTGCCATAGCGGTCTATAGATAACAGTAAGGAGAAGACGCATATTGATGTTAGAGTGTTAAGGGGTTAAAGCCTAAGTAGAATATAACAAACGAGGACGCTCACTGAATAAAGGATGACTAGAAAGCGCGCCAGTATCAATCTTTTTCGCCCTCTTCACAGATTCTGATGAAGCATTCGGCCTGGATTTGATGTACTGCTTGTATCCATTAGCAGCAACTTGTCGAAGAGAAACCTGAAGATAACAAAGATAAAAAGCAATTACTTTTTACATTCTAAACAGCTCTGGACACCGAGTTATTCGGACACCTCGACTGCCCTCTCCTTGTTTAAAAATGCCCCTCAGAACTATCCCAAAGAAATGGTCCGTGCAAGGTGAGCGGCAATCAAATTGAATGCAGAAAAGAAGCGTAAGAAACAATTTCAAATTTCGATGAGGTCATACACGTGTCTCCCCCAAACTAGTCGGGCGTGGCTACTACCAACTGAGCTACAGAGACACATGCAAGGAGCAGTGAAAATTTTAATGAGCTCTTCGTTCCCGCAGGAGTCACTGGGGACCTTTAGCAGTTAGGACGACAACGCCAAGGAAGACGTCGATTTTAAGATAAATAAATATTTTTAGTTAAAATCTCGCGAATAAGGGGTGTGTTTACCATCCCTTACGGCGCCACAAGCTCACCTCAGCATAACGTTTGAGAGCGGCGTTGAGTTTCAAATAAAAACTTAAATAATTTGCCTTCGCGGTTTCCTTTCTCAGACCAAGAAAAAAATTGATGATTTCATGTTGTTATTTTGCAGAGAACAACTAGGAAGTGTGTGCAGTTTTAAAACGTATGTGATGAGCTATTGTTCTGCTCATTAGATCTTTTGTTTTGCCCCGTCCTCGTTGCCCTCGCCTCGCTAAAGGACCCCTGTTCCACCGGCCGCTGACCGGCGTGCGAGTCTGGTTATCAACGAGCAATCGTAATAATCAGCGGTCATAATGATCAGCACAATCCTTTTTGCAAAAGTATTGCGTGAGTAATCAGCGCTTAACAGTCAAGAAAGTCGTGCAAATGTTCTTCATCCATTACTCATCTGTCATCGATATTAATGAACCAACAAATATCAGTGACATCCAGAATACTAACCAAGTCATGTGATTTGTCGTGCGCCGTTTTCATAAAATTATCTTCGTCATCTACGAGCAGCTGAGGAACCGTACCTATAAGCCCATCATCTTGAGCCTGCGAGTCCTTTCCAGCAAACTTTAGCGGTCGACCAAGGAAAAGATGAAGATCCACCATATGGGCTAGCTATGGAGCGAAAACAAATATAATAAGGGCAGGTTCCTGATAAGATTCATCACGCGACCCTTCCCAAATCTTCCCCGCTTTTACACTGCTCCGCTTCCATCGCGTCGTTTATTATCGCGCTTCGTTTTAAAAAATTCATGCCTGGAATAGGCTATGATTATTACAAAAGCAAGAAGAATGGTACATTAACAAGTCTCTTCTCGACCCAATTTCCCGCCTGGGCGCCGAAAGGAAACTGGGGCGAGGAGAAAACCACCAGTTACGTTTTACGATTTAAACTACCCGTGTGTTTTGCCAGACCAAATTTTCGCCTTCGCGGAGTTCAGGAATAAACGTCGAGAACAAACTTTTGCGATTTTTCGTTAAGGAAAACATGGGCTAAAACTCTATATATTCATCCTTTACTGACCATTGCGTTGCAAAAAAACTCTCCAAATACTGAATTGTCAAGAAGGTGATACCTACTGCTTAAAAACACTGACTCAAAACACATTATAACAAATAAACCCTACTAGTCTCCCTGTTTACTTCCTTGGGGCTTTTATTGAAATAAAAAATAAATTAATTTTTTTCGCTTGCGATAACAAATCAAATGCATATCGCGAAATCCGCAAAATTAAAACCTGTGTAATATTCATTCCACGTGGTTAACTCTAAACAATGCAATTAAACGATCAGAGGGATATTCGCGAATATACATGTGGGTTCCTAGCTCGATTTATTTCGCTATCGAGCTGGATAAGACCAGCCACTAATATTTTGTGTAGAGCGTTTCACATCAAAGGCAAAAAATTCACGAGTACACCTCAATTTGAATCAGTCGAATATTGAATACCGCTGACTCTGTAACAAGATCTGCCCACTCAGAGATAAGTTGCTTTGCGCTTTACTGTGCATTATTCACTGTGTTCCTAGAATTTAAGAGAATCTCGAATACCTCGTCGCAGTTATGGAGCCACAAGCATGTATGAGCAGAAGGAAACATCAACAACAGCAAGACATGCTTCGCACTATGAATTCATTCAGGAAATCACAAACATTTTGCGATGTGATTCTCGTCGTCGAAAATCGAAAGCTGCCGGCACACAGAGTAGTTCTAGCAGCGAGTAGTTCTTTCTTCAAAGCTTCCTTTACGTCTGAGTTGACTCAGGAAAAATCCAGTGATGAACTCGAAGTGAACCTGTCGGATTTTCATCCCGACAGTATCGAAGAACTTTTGAATTTTGTTTACACCGGGGAATGCGGAGTTTCGGAGGAGAATGCCGAAGACCTTTTGGTCATTGCCGACTATTTCGATATTCCCAGCCTAAAAGAAACTTGTGCGGAGTTCTTGATGATAAGCCTCAAACCGTCCAACTGTTTATGGATTCAGATTTTTGCCGAAAGATACAACCATGAACTGTTAAACGAAGCCGCCACTGAATACATTTGCAATCATCTTTCATCTATTTGGAAAACAAATGAATTCTTATGTTTGGATTTTATCGAGTTGGAAGAGCTTATTCGTGGGAAAAGACTCGTAATCAAGACACAGAAAGGCGAAGAAGAAGTGTTCGAAGGAATAAGGGCTTGGATAACACACGATACGGAAAACAGAGAGCATTTCTTTGAAGATCTTTTCCGCCATGTTCGCTTGTCGGCCATGTCAACTCAATTTATCTCCGAATTCATCGAGCGTGACGAACTTGTCACGCGAAGTCACGATGCTCAAAGTTTGGCCACAGCAGCATTACGTGTCCCGGATGAAGAGCGTGACGAGCCTCGTGGTGTCACGGAGAGTGTTGTGCTTCTCAGCAAAAACGGCTGTACTTCTTGTTTCACTCCAGCCACGGGAATGTGGTATGACTTGGCCCGACTGCCGAGCTTCAACGAGGCTAGAGCAATAACAATTTGCGAAGGGCATCTGTTCGCCATTGGTTGGGAAGATGATCGCTTGACGATCGAAAAATTCGACCTGCAGAAAAACATGTGGTCTGAAGTGCTATCGAGTTCGACCAACCTGCCAATGGCAGCTGTTAGTGTAGAAGACAGTATATTTCTTCTCAAGGAAAATGGCGTGACCCGTTTTAAGCCAAGAGACCATTCATGGGAAGATATGGCCCCAATGGACTCTTTGCGACGGGGCTTGTGTGCAGTGTCGCTAGGAGGCCTCGTTTACGCGATAGGGGGCCACGATGGACTTAGGCAGCTAGGGCTCAATAGCGTGGAGCGGTATGACCCTCAAAGCGACCAATGGGAATACGTGTCCTCTATGGACGAAAGACGCGCCTTCGCAAGTGCGACTGTGATGGACAACAAAATCTTTGTGGCAGGAGGTACTGGAGATAACTTTCTACCGTTACAGAATTGTGAGTTGTATGATCCTGTAACGGATACGTGGAGCCTTCTTTCCGCAGAGTTGTGCGTTCCTCGGTCACAAGCTGCTATCGGCAAAGCAAAGAGAAAGATCTTCGTGTTCGGAGGAACTTACAGCAATGGCATCGTGGAGTACTTTGACAGAGACAACGAAGAATGGATAGAAATCGGAAAGATGCCATCCACATTGTCTTACAATCACGCATGCGTCACGTGGTTACCGAAGGCATTGTTTAAACAACTGAAAGGCAGTAAGCTGCTCTGTGATCAACAAAACGGATAGATACTCAACAGCTTAAATTGGCTGAAGCAAGGACAGCACAACTTAACCCTTCTGACCGTAGGAGAGACCAGCATCTAATTTCTCATTGCAGTAATACAGCTCAATTATTCACTTAGATCATGAGAATAAAGGAAATGAACGTCAACCTAAGAAGCTCTGATTGTTAAACGAATTCTCCTTGTTAGCACCAAAGAAAATGTATTGGAAAGGGTATGAAGAATATGGTTTCTGATGTTCGTGTGTAAAAGGTTAATATGCTGGGGTAATCTTGTAAAATTTAGGTAGCTATTTACAAAAGTTTTTTTTGAGCATGGTATAGCTCAAGCCAGGTGGTAGTCATTTTTTCAAAATATCGAAAAGGGTTATATACTGTTCTCTCTGTCTTGACCTCGTTTGTAAATAAGATTAATTTAGATCCGATCTAATCGCTATTTGTTTCATAATGTCATCAACTCCGACGACGGCGCTTGTTGAATTTTCGCCCCTGAAGATGTAGCTCCCTTTCGAGGACGGCGATTGTTCAAGGCCTACGATCATCCAAGGCGTGAAATTGCGCCTAATACAGGCGCCAATGCGACTAAATTTTTCACTTTGGCGACCAAATCCTGAAAGTTAGTCGCCAAATTGGCGACTACAACGTTTCATCATAACCTTACTAAGAGATATAGTGAATTAAATAAATTTGCAAAGATAAATCCGTGGCAAACTTCCTCGTTAAGTTTGTTTCCAAAACGTAGCACATGCATCTCGACCGATAACTAGACGCCATCTTGGATTTAGATAAGCCTGAAAGTTGTATATCATACATCCTAGTGTCCACTTTGTAGCACGTTAAAGATCTTTTCCCTAACTTAATTTTGGAGAGTCTATCTAGAACGCTGACAGCGCAAAGAAAGATTTTGTTTGTCTTTGAAAATGGCGACCAACTTTTTTTGAATTGGCTACCACTTTGAAGAATTTAGGAGCCAAGAGGCTATCTGAAAAAAAAGTTAATTTCACGCCCTGTCATCTGAACTTCGACATATTCTTCAAGAAATAATGCACAAAAAAAGTATGTGTGTATATAATGCGTCACTGTATATGTCAATAAGTTTTTTCTATCTAGATTTTCGAACCTTTTTAAGTTGTTATTGTATCGTAATTAAACATTCTTGAATAGAGCGATTATAATTAGCTCTTTCCTCAAATGTAACGCTCTTTTCTTTCCTATCAGTTGTTTGGTCTTGTTATGCAGCCCGCTCTTTCTGAGAAGGTAACGCGTTGCGTGACCAGACCAGCCGACGACTGCGAAGAAGACTCGAGTGGCTGTCGCCAATTTGAGGAAAGGTTGTGTAGTTACTTTCTCTCGCTATATTCAGTATTAGTCGCCGTAAGAAAATTCCTAATCACTGACAGTGATCTTAAATTAAAACTAAGTATCGCAAATTTTCAGTGTCTTGAACAACAATTTGCCTAGTGACTTGACACTTGTAGAGTAATACGGGAACAAGCACCCTGTAAAAAAAAGCTCCCTGCTCATCGGGCGTGTTTAAACGCCCAGCCCCTCGAAGCCTAATATTTGCTCAGTAATTCTCTCTAGTAGTTAGTGGACATCTCCATGTAAATTAGAAAAGAGAATTTTAGTGCTTAAAAAATTAAAACAAGCTTCTAGCTTTCTTTAATACCAGCAACACAATTCTCCGATTTGTTAGCGTGTGGACATTCTGCATCTAAACAAGCACACCTACATCGTAAGAACACACAACACCGCAATACATAGAGCAATATACATACCTCATCACCGCTCACAAGGGAGTAAGCTGTCCCACTTCGACCGGCTCTTGCAACACGACCTGATAGTATGCGAGGTTTTAACGAGATGGAATCAGAACATTCCTTAAATGTGAATATTGTTGCCTAGCCCCTATAATTTAAGATTTAAAAAGAAATTCTCGGCTTCTCGTAACTTTTTTAAACTGGAATTTGGTGTCGCATCACATACTATCCCTCATCTGAGGTTTCTACCTCTACAGTTACCCCTTTGAAAATGGATTATTACTGTGAGGATAAATTCCTTTTTGATCACAGAAATCTTTCTTCACTTACCTACTCGATGAATAAAAAGCTTCGGTTTGGCTGGGAAGTTATAGTTGATCACGTTGTCTAACATGGGAATATCAATTCCTCGAGCCTATAAATTAAAACGATGGCAAATAAAAGAAAAAAAAAGGAGAGAATATAATGACATAATATACAATAACCCTCAAACAGGTAAATTACTAAGAGATCCAAGAACAATAAAAAGGCAAGTAAAAAATACAACGTTAAACCATATACACGAGCTTTCAGCGTTGTTTCAAGCACAAGGGCGCAATTTGCGCAGCTTCAAAAGTTTGGCGAAAACTTTCGACTGTTCCAGTTTACAATCCTTGTCGATCTTCTTTATATCTCCTTTATCAACTTATACCATTACTAGTTTGGATCAAAACTTATCTCTTTTGTTGTTTTGTTGTCTTAGTCGGCTATTATCATTTAGCCTCCACATAATCAAACTACGCTTTCAAGGTCAAAGAAATGACTCAAAAACATGATTACTCTGCAAAACAGGTGCCATTTATGTCCAATCAGGCGAACCTAGGCTATCGCGAGGCGAGCACGAAGCGGGAGTCTCGCGTGAGACTCGTCCTTCGCGCTCCCCTTTCTCGTGTCTCGGGCTCAGCTCCCTTAAAATATAACACCTATTCTGCATCATTCTGCATTCTTTTTTTTCCTTTCGATACCAAAGATACTATGTAAAGCTCTTTAACGTAATCTTTACTTACGGCCACGTCGGTAACAACCATCACGTTCGTCTTCTTGTGTTGAAACTTGCCAATGTTGATCTTTCTTGCTGCAAAAGTGACACAATCATAACTCTTGTTACCTCTTGTACGAGCCTTTTTAAAGAACTGCGGTACGGTTTGCACATCTCAGTCAAAGCAACCAGATTTCTCAAGTCAAAGGCTCACAACCATCATGATATCTAAGCAGCATCTACAGAGGGGAAAGGGGCTTTTTATCTTTTTTTTTTTTTTGGGGGGGGGGGGGAGGGGGAGGTGCGCACTAACGATGGACAGTTCACTTGGCTCTAAATTGCTAGTAAACTGTATTCCCTTGATGCCCTACAAAAGGGCAAGTTATCTTAAAAGCAAGACATTTGGATATGTGCCATACACACACCCACTGAGGGTGGGGCAGCATGAGTTGATATATAAGGTGGTCATTGCTTGTTTCATGGCCAATCTGCCACAACCCAGGTATATGGTGAGTTGCGATGTCGATAAGATGCTTGATTTAACATTCACTCTCTTGTGGATAACTCTACCCTATCAGACAAATGTTTGACCCTACACCTATCAAATTTCTGTACATAAAATTCTTCAAATTTAGATACTGTGACCCAAATCTTTCTTGGTATGCACAAGCCAATTTCCCCTCTTTCTATTCCCATGTCACATTTCACCTCAGAGTGGCTATATAAAAGCAAGACGGTCTTTCCCATATACCTGTTTGGTCCAGGGTGCTGTAAACAAAGGAGCTCTCTATTCCAGCAATATCTAGCAGCTGTGAAACAGAGAAAAAAATTATATAACGTACATCAGTTTACATAAAAACTTTGTGGCTTGCTGGGTAGCAAATGAGGGCCGCACTATCTGCGATGGACTAGGAACTGACACAGTTCTAAAGACAGGCGAGCTGAAAAGTTCAGCCTGTTTATGTTGCAACGTCTTTCAGCGGTTTCCTAGTTTCTAGTTCCCGCGCAGCATTAACATTCTAAAACAATTTTTCGCGTCAATTAATTATCAGTCAGAATTTTTCCTTGAGTGTCTCTATGTTGTTTCGTGCAAGTATCTCAACCGTCGGGTATGTTCATGCTGTCTTTTCTTCGTTTGATATTCATTTACCTTGTTTGTTTTCATTGCAAATTACTGTTATATAAAAGCGTTACCTCCTTCAAGTATTCTACGTGATGCTTTGTAGCCGTAAATATAAGGGTCTGTTCACTTGGTTTGATCACGTTTTGAAGAATGTGCAATAGCACAGCTAAACAAAAAGACGAAAAAAAAAAGAAGTATTTCTAATATCAATTACCATGATCCATCAGATAATTTACACGTGCTATTGGTCTAGACTTGATGACCACTTACACTCCGTCTACGACTGTAAAATATTCGAAAATAAGCTAATCAGAATGTCTTTGAATTCAATCGCTCCATTTTATTGATCCATTCATGGGTCTCAAATTCTGCTCTCTCATTAGTCAACTGCATAAACGAGCCGAATTCGTATTTGTTAAATACTGTATGGCACATATCAAAACACTCACGTCACCAAAATCTCAAAACTAATTCTACAAAAGACTGCTAACTAATAGAGACTATTGATATAATGAGGTGAGTCTGGCCATGACTCTTACCTGGTTTATCGACTGATCTCACCGAAAAGAAAGCCAGCTTAAAAAAAGGAAAAGAAACACCGTTCGATAAGAAAGACATTTACAAGAAATGTTGTTAAGAAGTTATCATATCATGTACTCATTTGGGAGAATGAATACACCGTAAATTCAATGTCAGTCGATGAAACAGCATCACTTTAAGGAGACACATTAATCTATTGACCCGTATGAAGGACTAGCGTCTAATTTCTTCCTCCAATATCAACATCAATCACCTTGTCAGCACCGTAGGAAATGTATGGAGAAGAGTGCATACTGCTCTTTCGATTAGTTTGAAAAGCAGGAGAGCAGAATAAATAAGTTCATAGAGTAGAATGTCTAATCGTCAGATGAAGAGAAATCAAACATGTGATCACAATTGCAACCAACACATTCTGCTAATTCAACGAGTACTAAAATTCTGTCATATTTTATCTACTTCTTATCGAGCTATCAGATCATTTCTGGGGTAATTTACAAGAATTTCTTGCTCCTGCAAAGAGCAGACAAATTGGATCAATAAATTTATACGGTATCAATACGATGACCAAGAGTGAAATAATACCTTAAGCTGTTCACTAAGTTTGGAGTCAACATCCAGTCTTATAAGCACAGGATCAGTCAAGCCTAGCAAAGATGAGTAAATAATTTGTATTTATTGACTGAGAGGAAGGGCAAGAGAATAACAAGTTCTCAAACTTATCAGGTAGAAGTTGTTATCTTGATCTAACATCAAATTCTTGTAATTAATTTACAAGGAAATGTGTAGTAGCTATAGGGAAGAATTGACAATCAGTTCTCGGAGTTTAGGGGTTTAACTATAAAAATATTATAGAGGCACACAGTCAGTCAGTTCGGCTTCATGTAGGCTGTGGCAAGCATTCAGTTGATAACCAGAGTCTGAGAAAGAAGAGCACCCAAGGAAGTTCATAATGACAACTGAAGCCAAAATTACCTGCTTTGGTAAAATCCACCAGTAGCTTTGGAAGAGTTGCAGAAAACAAAAGAGTTTGCCTTGAAGATAAACAAATGCTCACTTCACTAAAGCCAAATATTTCTGCTGCCTCAATATTTCAAATAAAGATAAAAGAGGCCAGAAGAGGAGTTGGAGAATCCAACTCCAAACTAACAGTTCAACACATGTATCGAGTTTATCTCTTTCTTTTTAATTAATCTTAATTTTAATATAATTATATAAAATTTAACAAAATTTATTACATATTTTCATAGGTATTGTTTTATTTTTGCGGGTTACTTCCAAATAGCACTATTGCCTTCCTGTGCTTTTGTTACCAATATATTCTATTAAAAAATTTAATATGAATGTGTGTAGCATAACCTTTAGTCATTATTGGAAAACATCTTTGTAAAGTGTAATTTAAATTGTAACAGAAGAATTTGCAGCTGAAGATGGTGTGAGAAATGTTAAAACATGTCTTAAAAACTTGAAAAAAATAATAGAATAGAACTCAAACATCAGTTTGGTCTTTTCTAATTGAATCTAATTATCATCACCATCATCACTACCACCACAACTCTTTGTTGCAGAGGCAAAGGACTTCATTATACAGTCATGTTGTTTAATCTTATCAAAGGTAGAGAATGATGTTCTATTTTATATCTTAATGATCATTACCCTCAATATCATTCACTACATGTTCTGATGTGTCACATTGAAAGAAAAAATGAAAAAAATATGAGAATCAATTGAAATGATGAGTCAATTAGTCAATTAAAAGTAAGCTTTAATCCATTTGATAAAGAATAACATGCTTATCTATGTATAAGCCCTTTGAATGCTTTAAAGTACCTGGAGTCTGGAAGACGGTTCAGGATTTCATGAAGTTGCTGGGCAAACCCCATCTCAAAGAGCCTATAAGTACAAATTAAATATTCAACGCACGAGTTTAAGTCTGGAAATATTACCCTCAGTATTCTATTACTAGTAAATTTGCTCATAACAAATGAGCATGGAATAGACTGAATGTTGACAAGATAACAATCCATTGACACTGCTTTCAATTGGTAGCTATTTCATTCACAAAATAAGCTTCATGACTGCAAGCTTCATGAAAAAAGAAACAAATCTCTAAAATGGGACAACCCCTATCGACTAAAACCACCAAAAAAAACCATAATATAGCCATAATATGGGCAACTCCAATTTACTCTGACCAATGGGAAACCTCTAACATGGAATCAGTTCATTTTGAAAATAATTAAAGGAATCCTGATTCTCTTTGTAGAACTCCCACAACAGGGTTGAGTACCTTTTCACACCTTTCATTGTCAGCTGGAAAGGCAAGCCATAAAACAAGATTGCAAAAATGTTACAGAAAGGGGCAGTTTAGGTGGTCTGCCCCCTTAGAGGGGAGTTTATGGCCACAGTTTTTAACTCGTGAATTGCGCGCATGCGCAAGAGCGAGTTATAGATACCATGTGGGGAATGGCATTCGCTCGCTCGCTCGCTCGCTCGATTGGTCGATTCCTGTAAACTTTTTTAGATTTTAGGCTTTTGAGTGCATTTGATAGTTTTTAGCGAGCAGTAAACAGAAGAAATGGCGACCTTTGTTGCTAAGAATAGTGGTGGGGTGAAAAAGAAGCCAATGATAATCTTAAAAGAGTTTTTTTTTCGTTTTAGTTTCAACAAGCGGCGCCAGCGACTGGCAGGCATGCAAGGATTCACACTGAAATAACAGAACAACCTTCGTTTTTCATAAAATTGTAATTTACAATCCTTGAACTCGAAAACAATCGGAAGATTCATTGAAAATATTACTTACTGCGAAGCGCTCGAAGTTTACAGATGTTCAGAAGCTTTTTCTGATATGGCGTGAGATTGAGGACAAAATTGATCATTACGTTTCGTCGCGTGTGTTTTTCCTGTGTGAAGCAACAAAAGATGCCGGCGACTGACGAAATTACACGTTAACACGAAAATCAGATAACACCTAAACAAACAATTTTAGCTACCGATTTTCAGTGAATTTTTAAAGAACAATTTTCTTTTAAGTTTCAAGACAATTTGAAGATTCAACATACATACAACGTACTAAAATGCGAAAGTTACACACCACAAAATTGATAAATAGGCCTGAAATGAAATTCTATCTTGTTATTGATTATACGTTGCCTAGCACGTGACTTAAATCTACCCAGGCGGAGATCCAAAATGACGGTGGCAGGCTTGGCTTAGTTATATCACTCAAAACTCGTTCCAGTTTGTCTGATTTGATAAAGAGGGAATCGTTAATGTTTTCATTAAGACAGTATTGCCTTGATTTTCTAATATTTACAACGAAAGACAGTAAATTTCACTTTTCACCCACATTTACTTCCAACCTTTTCTTTTGAACCAGAAACAAAAATGATAGACGTTTAAAACACATGACATCATCCACCTTGCTTGTAATAGCATGATTATTTCAATTGTAATGCCTTCTTATCCCAACGTTACTTTGTTTCTTTGCTACATTAGCGAACACTGAACTACTGCTCGTACTCTAGATATGACAATCAACCACAAAATTCCCAAAACCAGATAACATTAAACATCATGTGTCAAAATCATGTGTCAATTCACGAGTTTGCTCACAGAGCACTTTGATTCTAGTAAAAAGAAGGAGGGGTGGAACAGATGAGCTGTTATAAACTTAAAACAGTTGAACAATTATGTTGTCTACCAACACTTCAAAAAAAGGAGGGGCTACATTTACTGGAGCACACCAGAAGGAAGATTGAATGATAAAATTTGATCTAAAAGATGCCTTTTTTACAGTGTCAATAGCCCCTTAGTCTCAGCACCTCCTTCATTTTATTTATGGGGGTACAAGGTACTAATTTTGGTGCCTTCCATTTGACTTGGGTCCACCAACCCCTTTCTAGTTACCAACTTTTAAAATCAACTGTAGCCTTCCTATGAAGACAGTCGTACTCAAAAAGGTATTTCACTGCAGGGGCTTACAGCAGCACCTGGAAACAACACAGTAACTGGTGGGATCAAAGGAAAATGTATCCCTATTTCTCCATGATGACCTCTGTAGCTGACTACTTTACAGGGCTGGGTAATAAGGGCACCATTAAAAACCATAGATCACCCATATTGGCATTTCACACACCCACTGAGGGTGGGGTAGCATAAGTTGATATATAAGGTGGTCATTGCTTGTTTCATGGCCAATCTGCCACAACCCAGGTATATGGTGACTTGCGATGTCGATAAGATGCTTGATTTAACATTCACTCTCTTGTGGATAACTCTACCCTATCAGACAAATGTTTGACCCTACACCTATCAAATTTCTGTACATAAAATTCTTCAAATTTAGATACTGTGACCCAAATCTTTCTTGGTATGCACAAGCCAATTTCCCCTCTTTCTATTCCCATGTCACATTTCACCTCAGAGTGGCTCAAGAATATCTGCAGTGTAACATGATGATCGTTTGTTGACAGGGTTTTCTCCTGCTTGCATCTGATGACAAACCTAAAAGTTCTCTACCTCAAAAGGGTGTACTGCAGAGCGCACTTTACAAGACTGCAAGTGTTTTTAATTGATTGAAATTGAAGATAGGCGGCAGTGTATTCCACAAGTTTTCTAAAAAAAACTCAGGATTACTTTTGTCCACAAGAGTGTTTCTGGTGATCCAGACACTGTTGTCAACATAACATAACTGGATTCAATCAATCAGCCAACTGACTTAAACTGTTCCCACAGTTCTTGTTTCACATCATGTACCACCAATTAGACTTGGCACGTACCTGTCAGCCTCATCAAACACAACATATTCCACCGATGTAAGTTTCAGGTCCATTTCCATCACAACATGAAGAAACCGTCCTGGAGTGGCTACAATACTGTTAGATGAAAAAAGGAGAAACAGGTAAATTCCACTTGATAATAACAAAGAGGAAAAAGCTGTTCTTAGTTGCAGCGCTGTCTTATTTTTATTTCTGATGTACATGTTTACATTTGATTCTTGGAGATTGTGGATCATAGGAGAAGCTTTCAAGTCTGACCCCTTGAACTGCCAGAAGTGATTACCTTGTAACTTCTTCCTATAATATCCATACATTAATATCCAATAAACAGGTAATGAGAATACTCATAATCAGGAAAGAATTGTTATCATGATCTAGTGCCAAATTCTCATAACTAATTGACAAGAAATTGTGCAGCATCAACTGAGGGGAGAACTACCAATTAGATCTTGAGAGTTAAAGGGCTAAATCAGTTAACAGAAACATGCAGAGCAAATACTTACATATCTGGATTTCCATGCAATGCAGCAAACTGACCTTCCAAACTGAAAGCAAAATAAAAATAAAAAATTAGGTGGCAATGTTATCTTGAACAATTTAATTCATACCTGGCAGTTCATAAAATTACATACTGAGGCAATCTCTCTGAAAATAACAACTAGTACAAGACTAGTACTAGAATATCATGAAAAAAAAATTGTAGTGCAAAGGGCTACAGTATATAATGAGGATACAGAACATTAATCATGCAAATAATTCAGACTGTTTTGAAGAACTTTTTGACATCTTTAGTGAGAGACAATAAATATACTCACCTGTCTCCACCTAGCACAACAGCAGCCTTCAAGCCAGTAAACCTTCCCAGCTGAGAAAAACAACAGTTTTAGGAAATGTTTCCCAGAAGAATTGACCAAAGAGTGTTACTGTATATCAAATATAATGAAAGAGTAAAGCAGAAACTCCCATGCCTTAGGTGAAACTCTCATTTTTATAGACTAAAAACTAACACCTCAAGCCAGCTTATGGGGCCAATTACTTTCTCATGCCCAAAAGATATATTCCAGCCATAACAGCAATAACTAAGACTTTTTCTTATAAAATATTCAGTTGTGGAAGGGAGTCAGAGCTCTAGATCTAGAGACAAAATGTTTGGCATCTTTTCAGAAATGTTCCAAACATCTTTACAAAATTTTTAGCAATCCAATAGAACGTGATTGAAATTCTTAAGTTAGAAAAAGCTAACACTCCATGAATCAAGCTCTGAACAGATGGGCCCATTGGTTAGAGAAAAGTCTTATAACAACAAAAAACCTGTCAACTTCTTAATTTGTCCCAACCTCTTTGGTGAATTTCAGGGTCTGGAGGGCCAGCTCACGGGTTGGTGATAGGATAAGTCCTCTAGCGCCAACCTGACAGAGAAATTCAAAAAGGTGATTGACATTTTTTAGATAAGCCACACTTCTTACATTCTTGCATAACAATTCAGACCATGCAGCTTGATTGTCCGGGGAAGGGCAGCCCTGAGAAGGACTTTTGACAGCAACAGTGACTAACCTTTCGACAAACAAACCAAACAGGACAACCTCTCATTACAGATGGATTGAAACTGACCAATAATGACCAACTTTTTTTACTGACTCAACTTTAATTCAACTGAACTGACAACACTTCTCTAGATCCTGACTATGACTTTTGCTGAGGATGTTGAAATGTCTGTCGACACCACCCACAATAGTCCTTCACAGGATTACTCTCACAATCAAATGTTACCTTCAGGTTCAAACTGCCAGCTGCAGACATGCTCCAAAACCAGCCAACTAAAGGCACCTTTGCTTTACACCCTAATATCAGTATGAATATTCTCCATACTGTTCCCGATACATTTCTTAAGGTACTGACAAGGAGAATATGTTTAGCAATCAGGGGTTCCATTAGTTGGTGATCATTTCCTGTATTCTTGTTATCTCAATGTGTGATTCGGGGGGGGGGGGGGAAGGGGGTGTGGTAAGGGGAAATTAGATATGAGTCACTCTTCGGCATCAAAGAGTTAACTAACCACCCCCAGAAAGAAAGCTTCAAGGTCACTTTTGAGAGTCAGACAATTCCTTGATATTACAAATCAAGTTATTTATAGACAAGGCTACTTGTAATGGTTCACAGCCAATGAACTTTACTTTCCCCTGCAACATTCAACCCATATTTCTTCAGTTTTCAACTAGAGAGGCTGCTTAGTGTGGTATTATTATGTACAGCAGTGTTGGTACTGAATGATACTGTACCATCTAAATAAATACACCATGTAATGATGATTAAGGGTTTATCTATATGGAATTCAAACACTACCTTAGCTGAATGGGCCTTGAGTCTTTCAAACATTGGTATCAAGAAGGCTGCAGTTTTACCAGAACCTGTCAAAAAGGTAAGAAAAGTATTTTTTAAAAAAGCAAGTTTTACTACATGTATGTGCACATTCATTGAAATTCCAATATCTCATATTTTTGCTGACTCAAACCTTGTGCTGAATCAGTTTACTTTGTATTTCCTTGATACATTTTACCTGCCAATTTGTCCCCTCCCCTCTGCCAGTAGCTGGAAGCATTGATGACTTGAGCCTCCCATTAACTCACAGCAATTTGGTTAACCCTTAAACTCCCAGTTCAAATTTGTCATTCTCCTTACTGTCAACCATACAATTCTTATGATGTTAGTTCAGAGAGTTTAGTATTGGATCAACTAATTATCCCCAAATTAATATTTTTCTTTATTCTCATCACTAATTTGGTTGATATTGTAAGGAGAAATTCTGTCTTAGACACTACTGGGAGTTAAAGGGTTTACCCATCAGCAGTTTTCTACAGTGACAATATTTGTTCATTCACAAAGAGTAAGAAAACTGTATTTAAAAAATTTAACCATAGCTTACAACGACAAAAATTACTTGAACTCCTTAAATCTTATAAAATCATGTATGTCATTTACCTGTACGTGCCATGGCCACCACATCCTTCCCATCCATAATTACTGGTATTGTCTGAAGGAAGACAAAAATGGATTTGAATTTCACCAATATTTAACTCCTTTACAAAAGCTACCCTGTTACAAAACCTTGAATATATACATGTACAAAAACTGAACCTTTTTTTTTTGTGGTAATAAAAAAGGTACTCATGAAATATATAGATGAATAGACTCTCAGTAATCAAGAGCCACATGATAAAGAGTTAATGGTTTTCACCTATGCTGCTAATGATACCAATGATGTGCACACACAAATACATGCATATATAGAAGAACTTCTTCTTGGATTATACTGTATTACGCATTCCTGGAGTTGTGATCATGTATGGACTAACAATATTTCAAGCTTCTGGTAGGGTGAACAGAAAAATCAAAACTTTGTATGATTAAGAGGAAATTTTCATGCAGTTATATGCAATTTAATTGAGTTAACAACAAAGAGCATCAGTGTTCTCTAGTAGTAGGTGGTTTTCTGCATGTGCACATGGGTCAGAATTCCATTTGCTCTTTGATTCAGGTGTTCTTGCATGTGCTTTGAGCATGAACTTGCAACATTGTAAGGAGTGGTAGCTCATCATCCAGGCAGTTTTCCCTGCCTCTTCCGTCCCTCTTTCCACTGCTTATTAAGTGTGACGGGTGCCTATCTCCCTTTCATATGTCAGCCATGGGAGAAGTATCCGTCTAGGAGCTGGCTGCCAATAGTGGAAGCTCCTGGATGTCTCAGGCACCCAACCTCCACTTAGCAAAGCAGTTGTTAACCAGAATTGTAAGACATTGTGCAACACCTCTTAATATTTAAAACCCATGCGTGACCATGAAAGGATTTTCTCATCATAACATCACGACATTATCAAGTAGACAAGTGATAAGAATCAAGAAAATGTCAATCAGGGGATTATTAGTTAATCCAATATCTAATTCTCCAAACTAACATCATAAGAATTGTGTCACAGACAGTAATGAGGATTATAACTGAGATCTTGGGAGTGAAATCATAAAACATCTCTTATTGCAATCATGATAATCACAGACTGGACCTTTATTTAAAGGAGAATCATGCAGATAAAAGAGCAAAGGCCAATGAAATTTAGCCAGATAATTTTCTGATCTCCAATCCCCCTTAAAAATCCTGCATTTAAAGATGTAGTAGTAATAATGACACAAACCCAAATGAATAATTCCTCATTGAATTCAATGACCAGAAGATATACACTTATAATGTTAACTATTAATCGCTACTACTATTATCAATCTTGGTTAGCTACATGTAAACCTACCTTTCTTTGAATAGGTGTGGGAAGTTTGTAGCCTTTCTTCATAACTCCTTTAAACACTGGGAAACTTAAGCCTGTAGATATAAAGATAAAGTTTACAACAGTACTCCTCAAATTCTGACTTGTTAACCTTTAACTCCCAGAAGTAATGAACATCTAACTTCTCCCCACAATATCAATATATTATTCAGCAAACAGGTAAGGAGAATACTCAAACATATCAAGTAGAAGTTGTTGTTTTGATCTAATACTAAATTCTTGTAACTAATTCAAAAGGAAATATGTAATAGCTGGAATGGAGAATTGACCATCAGATCTTGGGAGTTACAGGCTTAAAAAACTTCAAACCCTTCCTAACAAAAGTTACAATAAAATAAACTGAATGTTCATAATCAAGGACAGGTAAAAAGAGGAATGTTTTCAAGGAATTTCACACATCAACTTATAAATGGTCAAGCTGACCAAACAGAGTCTTTGAGCACTGGAGCAAGGATGTGAGGGTCTGATGTCCAATTCCTCCCGAGGATGCAGAATTTTTTGTTGTCCCAAGCTTGTATTAAGACATAAAGACATCTTTCTCTACATCTATCTTTGTCCAAAATATAATATTACTAAAAATCTTCAATACCCATAGATTGAAATCCTCCTGATTTTTTCTTCTTTTTGATGTGTTGAGTGACAAGTCCTCTGGTATAAAGTCCAGCCTCATCGTCAACATCATCATCATCATCATCAACATCATTATGATGTCTTAAATCTTCATCTTGTTCATGATTATAGAGTCCATCAGTTTCCACCTAATATAAATACACACTTAATTTGCACACTTTACTCATTTCATCACAAAATTTAAGAATAATTTGACCCAAAGTTAGCAAGTTAGTCAATCTACTGCCTACGATTGACTTAATTGTCACATAGAATGATGAAGAAGCTGAAGAAATTAAAAACTAGAAATTAAGGAAATTAAAGAACAACTGATAAATAAGTAAGAGGTTAAGAGGTGTGCAGTAAGGATTTGCAGAAGAGCGATGGGAAACGTATCAATTTCAGTCCAAATTTTGACATCGATACGCGAAGTAGCATTCTTTCATAGGTGTATTTTTAACAACATGATAAGCATGCAACGTACGTAGTAATGTATCTATAACACGTGAATAATTTGGGGAAATCGAGAGAAAACTTACTCTCTAATGCAAGGTCCACCAAACTTCCTTTAAATCTCAGGCTCTAAGAATTTCCTCCTCGAAGTCGATGCAACGAAAAATAAACAAACAAAAAAAGTTTACCTCAACAAACTCATCAGCCTCTTCGTCTCTTCTTTTCTTTCTCCTGAACTTCGATGGAAGATTGTTAGTTTTTTTCTTGTTCTTTTTCTGTTGCAAAGTTTTATTTGGTTTTCCCTTTGAAGAAACGAGAGACTTTTTCTTAGCCATGATAAACAGCAATATTAACCATTTATATTTGATTATCGACCATAAAGCGAAAATAAACCATTCAAATGTGGAAAAGTTGCGTTGCTACACTATTCACTTCGTCCGCCATCTTACCATGCTTAAGGAGCCTGCGTTTAAACAGGATAGCGGAAGTGTGACATTTTTTAGTTATTTCATTGGTCAATGCCATGACAACGCAAAAAGAGTAAACCAATCACAGCCTGGCCGAGAAGGCGGCAAGCCCAAACACGCGGCAAAGTTGTTATTAATTGTCACCTTCGTTAGTTACCATCGACGAAGAAACGTAACGAGTGTAAGCGTCGTGCTGGAGGAACTTTTTGTCAAACCACAGCATTGTACACTCTCGTAATCTAAGCACGATAAAGAAGATGGAGAGATGCCCATCGACTGTACAAGCAACTCCACCGATAGAGGACAATCCTTCCTTCACTCAGCACATTTTGTGGGCACCGAAGAAGAAGCGCTTGCATCGAAGAGTTATTTCATCAGAACTTCCTTCGAGCGCAAGAGCTCATTCACATTCGAAAATTAGAAAGCGCTTGATATACCCATCTCTGGAAGACGATGAGAGAAAAGACGAAGAAGAAGAAAAAAGGCACCTGCTTGAATGTAAACAGGATTCATACAACGAGGAAAAGCATTCTTTAAGGACACCGGATTGTGCAGGAAACAAGCGAAATGATGTTCATCTCAAATTGTCGAAGCCAACGGATGCACGCGCTCAGCTGCTCAAAACTAACCACAAAGGCAGAAATGTGGATCCACAGCGCATTAAAAGGAAGTTGGCTTTGAGCAGCTTTCGTTGAAGACACGGAAAAAACTTTAAGTGAAAGAAACAGACATTAAACATTGCATAAAGTGCATGTCGTAAAGTTGTCGAATTTGAAACTTTGATGCAGTTAGAGACTGCGGAACTTTGAAAGCTATGCAATTTTACAGCAATTAATTTATGAGAACAGCGTTCTGAGAGCGTGCATCAATCTTTGCTGATTGACATTTAATTCAAACTGTTCTAAACAGTCGAAGAAATGCGAATTTAATTTATTGTAAGCTGGACTTGCGATTGGCCGGTGCAATTATTTAACTTGCCGAAAGCTAGCTTTGCCTGCAAGTTTGGAAAGAAATACCTTTAGATAAGACTGGCCCAAAGAGACTTGTAAAACCATAAAAATTAATATATGAATCCTGTAAGTTTTAAATATCATGTAAAAATATGAAATTAATTACAGTGTATTTCAACAAATGGTGTCCTGGTAACTGCTAAGAAGTTCTGTTCCCCCATCTTAACAAAAATTTTGAGTTAAACGAAAAAAAAAGGAGCCCTCATGACAGTCTCTACATGACGAAGAGCCAATGAAATAAGAATCTCAGTGTGACTGAAACAAAGGTCGTCCATGGATATCTGTCATACTAATTTTCTAACAAATTTTCCACCGAAACAACATTAGTGCCATATGCCATAACAGTCACCATTTACCAAGCTCAAAATAATAAAATTAGCCTTTCACAAACAAATTCAAACAAAACAATGATTCCTAAGTTTGATTCGGCCAATGATTGCAATGGATCAAACCAAGGACAGAGAACAATAAATTAACTCCTAATTAATTGCATGTTTCCAGGAAATACATTGCTTTGATTTGTGTAGATGAATCTCTTTATAGTTGTTAAACTATCAACCCTTCACACAACCCTCACACCAATGTGTACACTCTCCATACTGCTCCTTACACATTTGCTAATGTAATGACTAGGCGAATTTGTCATAATTCTGAGCTTCCTTATCATGGGATCATTTTTCTTTATTCTCATGACCTTAATATTTGATTCAGGAGTGGTGCTTTAAGGAGAAGTTGGAAGCCAGTCACTCAGAGGTTAATTTACATGCTGAAACATTAAATTTCCTAATCCTTCAGTATTGAACTTTCTTGTGCAATTTGTGAATGATACAAAGTTTTATATAAACAATGAGCTATGGATGGAAAAAACCTAAACGACTCAGTCTACACTAGCTGACCAAAGGTTTCCAATGGTCTTTACTCACAATGACTTCATGTGAATTGTTACATCATGAACAGTTGATGGTAAGGAAACTAGAAGTTTTATTTACTAGTGTTTATTGTCAGGCCAGAAAAGCCACTTATACTCTCCAATTTTAATTAACAAAGGACAAAACTGAGAACAAAATTGGAAGCAGTATTCCAAGTGAATATCTCTTTAATGAGAAAACCAAAATAATGTTACGTTTAAAACTTAATGTTGGCAGTGCGGCTATTTAATTTTTTGATATTTATTCACAAGCAATGCTTTCATAGCAAGAACTACAATATTATAATCTTTCTGAATCTTAAGGCCCAGTTGGTCAAAGGGTAGATAAACCCTATCCAAAGGATAAATCACCAACCACTGTGCTGTCTGCCATATGGAAATTTATCCAGAGATTAACATTATCCACCCTTTGAAAAACTGCGACCTGGACTGCAAAGTACAGCTTCACCACCATTATGTTCTGTCTCCCCTTCAAATTTTGCTATTCAAGAATGTGAAAACATTTGTGTTTATGAGAACAAAAATAATTATCAATGGTAAAAATTGTTCAACATCAAACTCCATATTCTCAAAATAAATTTCTAAGAGAAGCCATACAAAATCCTGAGCCTCTGATCATGTAAATTTGTTGCCCACATAAGCAAAGATCCCACAAAATTGTTACCTAGGAAACTATCTCAAAATGCTTTCACATTATTAAATTAGGCAAAATTTGTGGCATAATTTAAATCTTCATAATGACCAAAAGAAAAAATTACAACCCAGTGCTTAGAACACAGTGTATAAAAATATCCAAAGAGGGTGTATGACAGCTAAGATTCTAAGGCTGAAAGATGTTTAATTTTACATACACTCCTATGGTAGAAACTGTATCATTCATAGGCATGTTTGTATAAAAAAAAAGTGGTACCAATAGCCATTATAAAGATCATATTTGCTTTTCTAAAGTATAAGATATATGTAAAATTATTTGTAAAATTTTTCTTCATTTCTTATATATTTCTGAAACATTTAACAAAATTAACAATATAACTTGTTCTCTTGTGTTTCTCAACCTCTCCCAGATCTTGAAACTTGCAAAAAATATTAAAGTTGAAGACACTATGGTCAAAAAAGATGCTAAAAGTACATAGCATAGTAGGTACAGTGACTCAAAAATTGTCTTGAATCAAGAGCAACACCACCACAACTATATTTACAATAACAAAAACAACAACAATAGTAAACAAATTCACTCTTAGAGAGTCTTTTGGTTTCTTTTCTTTGAACCTGCTATGTCACCACTCCACCCACACACACACACACAGATGACTCAACACCCTCCCATTATGGTGCTCATTTGTTTCTCAATTGTCTCACTATTTCTTGAATTGTCTTCCTTTCCCACTGTTTCTTTCTTTCTACTCTCTCTGTCAAAAATATTAAATAAAAAAAATGTGTGTTGGATATTCCAGGTTAAAACTATTAAAGTATTTCTGATCCATTGCCACTTGTTAAACTCACACACAAAAGTGAGGACCAGCAGTCACAGTAGTCACTAAAAATGGTTTAACCTTGAAATTATGCTTTCATTCCTTCTCCACAGACTATTGATCCTTTCTTGATGGAGTCCTCCAGTTTTGAAAACCACCTACAAAAAAGCCAGAAAAAAGTGGCTATTATTAGCTTTACTGGCTTTATCATTGTTAAGTCAGATAATACAACTTTGCAAACTAACATCACTATGTATATTCTCCATACTGTTCCCTATACATTTCCTTACATGCTGAAAAGAAGAATTTGTGTAACAATCAAGAGCTTCTTAAGTTGTCATCATTTCCTTTGTTCTCCTGACATTAATGAGTGATTTGGCTGTGATATTGTAGGGAGAAATTAGATGCTAAGGGGACAATTGTGAATGGTTATTCCCCATTGCCAACCAGCGGTGGATCACAGCTGACATAAGATTGCACTAAGACTAAAAAAAACGAAAATAGTGCATAGCTGCTGGAGAACATTTCACTGTTGATCATAAGTGTAAAGATTGAGAGATGACAACTGAAAACCTATCTGGCAAACTTGGACTGAACTCTTTACCCTCATAATGTCTCTCCCTTTCTCTGAAGGAAAGAATATACCTATATGGTGCTGGCATACATGTATGTTCAGAAAATTTGAATACATGAATCCCATCAAAATACCTCATGCTGCAGAGGAGCCATAAAACTCAGATATCATAACATTACAATAACGTGTGACCCTAACAGCAAAATCCACAGGCCAACCATTTTGGAATTGATTCTCATGAATGATGTCGTGATGGTATTTCACACCTACAACTAAGGTCTCCTACCTATTCCTGTCCATATCACTATCGGCAGCAAAAAAGTAAGTCCTATATAATGGATCTGTAGAAACAGCTTTAAAGTAGTATTTCTTTTCCTTCTGCTCTCCTATTTGAATTGTGTAGCCATGAAGCTTTGCCACTCCCAAGGCAACAGTGTTGGACATGTCAGAGTAGTAGTAGAGAAAGCCATCCTTAAGGACAAAATAGCGTTTCCTCCAAACCTTGATACCCTGGCCTTGCTTGTGTAGGTAACCATGGCAATCAGGATCCCTGATTGATAGGGCAGGAATGCTAACATTGTGGACACTTCCTTCCGAAAGAGTGAATGGATTGGACTGCATATGAGAAGGAAAGAGGAATATATGATATGCATTGTTGACCAAGTTTGTTTCATTAATATGGCTGGATGTTGGAAAAACTAACAAACAAACAATCAAACATCAAAAACAATGCCAAAAGCCAATCTCCATCAAGAATCACTAAAAAACACTTCAATAAATCTCAGTCCATTCAAAGCTCATATTCTGTGACCAAATGTTTCTTATTCTATTACTAAAATCTGAGGTGGCAGAAGGAGGTGGCATGCACAAGCAAAAGAGCCTGTCAAATTCACTAACTGCCAGCTCTTACTGAGAGCTCTGATAATTACTTGTGATATTTGTTAAATAAGAGATTAAAAAAAACTACATACACTGCCAGATGACCCCTTGATTGCATCCATCATGGCCATCATCCACTTGCGCATGTCCACGTCACTACCTGCGCACATGTAATATGTCCTTGCACCACCTTTGGTCAGCTTGAAGCAGTGGGGTTTGTTAATCTCAGGTGCTTTTGATATTGAGTAGTTTGCCAAGATGATTGCACCACAGGGTGATTTATCTTTTTGTTTGTTGTAGTAGTACAGGCAGTTGTCACTTCTCAACACAAACCTAATGCAAGCAAGTAACATATCAAGACATGTTTATTTGATTGAAGGTTCATAATAGTAATAGGATCATGTGGAGTCCATTTTGGTCTGAAATTATATGAGTGATTAACAAAATCAGATGATCCCGAAGTGGGAGTCCAATTTGTAAATCAAGAGTATGATTACCAACAGAGTCTGACTATACAAAGTCCTAAATAAAGAAAGATGTTTTTTGTCTTGTCACAAGCATGGGACAAAGAAAAATTCTGAGTCCCCATGAGGACACAAAGTCCTGTTACCAATTAATCAAAACAGTTACAATTCACTAAAATGAAATACTTTTTGGACAAATATCTCTGGTAGAGACAATAACTAAGTAAAAAATTCCTCAATTTTGGAAATTCCACTGTATTTTTCAGGACAAGTGGTTGTTGAAAGGACTAAGTATGATTGGCTGCTTCAACTGTCCAATTAGAGGTGTCCAATTACAGCCAACTGTTGATTACACTGTCCTATTACAACTGTACAGAATGATTAAAAAAAAAAAAAGCAGCTGATGCCCTAATCACATTTGAGGAGATTGTAATGGATATGATTAGAACAAAAATTAATTGCCATAGACTGCTTGCATCACTCTCCTTCACTGGACAATTCTCTTACCATCTTTTCCTCCAGTTCTTTGGGGTTAAGCCAGATCCGCCCATCTTCAACAAGTGTCCTCTGATGTAATCTAAACAAAAAAAAATTGCATTGCATAGGGTAGAAGAATTTAATCTCTTCTTTCCTGTTCCCTCTTATACCTGATGGACTGATCATACATGTAAGGAAATGATTGTCAGGTGTGATCGTCCATCTTCTGCTGTCAGCTTCCATGCATGACCTTATCAGAGTTGCATCAGAATGGAAAGTTTAACCCCTAACACCCTAACATCAGTATGCATATTCTCCATACTGTTCTCCAAACATTATTTTCCTTTTGAGCTGACAAGGAGAATTTGTTAAAAAATGAAGAGTTTATTTGGTTTGTGAACATTTCCAATATTCTCATGAACTTAATGTGTGCAGATTCAGGAGTGATATTTTAGGGAGAAATTAGATGCTTGTAACAGGATCAAAGGGTTAAAATAAAAAAATCGCATAGGTCAGCACTAACCCTCCTTCGTTAATTTTCCATTAGGAATGTCACTTTTGGAAAAACTTTCACGGAAGTCTCTCTCAGAAACAGTTGATGAATCTGATGACAAGCGTTCCCTGTCTGTTTCCAGAAGCCATGACTTTCTATTAGAAGCTCCAAGATTGTCAGTACCAAAGGCATTATTCTCCTCATCATCTCCATAATCAGAAGGTGTGTCTGAATCTATCCCATCCTCATTTGATGCTGGTGTTCCTGGTCGACTGTTTGATGAGCTTTCCTCTGTTCCTGCTGATATGCCACTCTCGTCTGTTGTAATTTCAATATCAGGTATTGCTGCTTCCATGCCACTCCTTGCAACTTCCAAGTCAAGTTCATCTGCAGAATCTGACTTCTCAGTGGAGGCATTGTCAAGGTCATTTTTGCATTCCTGTCCTGTTACTTCTTGCAAAGGTTCCTCTGCATTACTTACTTCTCCTGATAATTCACCTTCTTGCCCTACATCTTCATGTCCATCTGCTGGGTTACTAGTCTCCAAGACACTGCTGTCTTCAACTTGTGAATCCTCACTGCATGGTAGAACTTGCTCATCAGATACAGCATTTTCCTTTTCCACGACTGGTGTTTCAGTAACGTCCACTTCAGTTTCCCTGTTGTCATTATCAACTTCATCTGCTATCTTCTTACAACTCTCTTCATCTTTGTTTCCATTGTCAACATTTTCTGATGTAATCGCCTCAATGCATCCTTCTTTGCCACTTTCTTCCTCTATTTTCTTTTCATTTGATTGTTTCATCTGAGTCATTGCTGTACACAGTTGCTGTTCTAGCCCTGCTAGATCCTCCATGGCCTTTGATAAGCTCTTGGCAAGATCAGTAGTGGTTGATTTTGGGTAATTCTCATTATCAACCTCTTGGACATCACCACATGAAACATTAGCACTGTCAACACTATCAGTCTCACTACTTTCAGTTGTTTGTACTACAGTATCAATCAAACTCTTTTCTAAACTTTCTTCTGTCCTTACTGACTTACTTGTTGCATCTGGATTTGACGGAACAACAACAGTTGTACCATTTTGATCAACTGATTTCTCTTCATCACAAATCTGATCAGATATTGCCATTTTTTCAGATGGTACCTCTGTAGCACCTTGCTCAGGTGCACCATGTGAATTTACCTCACCACTATCAGAAATGTATGATACAGAACCACCTTCCACTCCATCTTTACCTTGAGGACATGACTGTTCATTCTCACTGTTGTTGGATTCCTTAACAGGTGATGACAGATCTGAAGATTCCACTGCTTCTTCTTTCTCAAGTGTTCTATTCAAAGAATCCTTAAGATCACTTTCTGTTTTGTTCTGATCATTTTTTCCAGTTTGAGCATCAGTTTGTAGTTTATCAGTGATGCTATTAGAATCATTTTGCTCTAAGATGGAAGGATCAGAAGAAGCATTTGCTTCTCCTGGATTATTTGTTCCTTCCATTTTATCTTGTTTCTCTGCATCACTACTGCTGTCTTGAAGCTTCTGATCAGGAGGGTCAGAGGGCTCCCTTACTCCATCTCCAACTCCACTTATAGCATTAGCCTCCTCTTCTTGGAGTTTAGGATCATTAGCAATCTCCATAAAAGAATCAAACAATTCATCAGCAGCTATATCATCAGCAGATGATAATTCTTGTGGGGATTTTTCCTCAGGAGTTTCTCCTTGATTCATGAGACCAGTACCATCCTCTCTTGTTTCATCAGCCATTACTCAAACACTCAAGTCAAAAAGCTGTATAAAAAAGGTAAATAAAAGATATCTCCATAAGGTGAGTCCTCAAATTTGCATCTTTCTTTCATTGAGCATCCTCTTTGGATAAACTCCCCTTCTAATGACTGAAATTTTAGATTGGCTCCCCTACTTATGTTACCAAAATGATGATGTGGATGCATGGTAAGTTATGTCTGTACTCGAGGCAGGTGGTCTGTCCAGCCCCAGCTTATCTATAGCAGGAAGCAACTACGAGTATAACTACTCCCCCTTGGATGGGATGCCAGTCCATCACCAGGTTCCCCCTCTGCATTTCATCAGCCTTCCCAAGCAATTTACTGGTACCCTTTTAAACTCCTAAGTTGGGAGAGGCACTGATCTTTATGACTTTAGGAGGGGAGCTTATCCAAAGAGGATGCTCAATGAAAGATGAAAGTAAAGTATTTTGCCAAAGAACGCAACGCGATGACAACTCAGCAAGGTCATGAACCTGGACCTCTTGACCCAGAGCCCAGCATACTAATCATAAGGTCACTGCTTCTCCCGATAAGGAGGCCTAGGTTATGTTTATCCTTCCAGTCAAGCTTGTTTTACGATCACTAGTACTCGTAATTACTCCTAACAACATGCACATAATTTCAAGGAAAGATAACAATTTCTTTTCTTCCAAGTTGAATCCTTCAACATGCTGGTTTTCAATCAAACATTATTCTGTTTGTTGTTACTTTCTCTCTCCTCGTCACCTCTCTGCTTCACAGGACACTTACTACTGAAAGGAGAAATTACTTATTGGTTACTCCTGGGAGAGAGAGAGATAATTCAGTTGTGCCCTTGGCTTCTTGAGTGGAACCATCCACTTTTTTTAGAGATTCTTTCACCAGAAAAACTGTTATTGTTATTACACTGTACAGCTGGATTACCACTGTTGCATGATTTCTCATGTAAGAGAGCATGGTTTACAAACTTTACCAACATCCCAAGTAGGTTATTTTGCCAGCAAAACTATAGGAAGTGCCGTTTATTGCTTTTATAAAATAACTTAAATGGGGTCACCTGTACAATAAAAGATAAGTTTTTGACCAATCTTCCTATCTCAGTTATTTTGAAATAGTGCCTATGCTGAAAATAAAGAGAGTTGTCTAATACACCCAGATTGAGTTGACTTCTCTAAGGCAGTTTACAAATAAACCAACCAGAAGTCAATCTGTGTTGATTCACAAGTTGCCTTGTGATGCCAGAAATCAGTTGATTTGATTCAACTCCAACTGGACAACTCATCTCAGTTGAAGTTGACCTGTCACATTTGGAAGTTGTTTTGCAGGACACTTAGAAAATATTCCACAATGTGCTAACAGGGATGGTTGAACATAATGTCAACTTGACTCACATCAACATGAATGATTCATCTCCTTTTAAGTGAACCCATCATACCAGAAGTTAATTTGCAAGACATTTAGAATATATTCCGCAACCTGCTATGAGGGAGGATTGAAAATGTTGTTGAGTTGACTCCATTCAACTGAAAATCACATGATTTGTCTCATTTGTCATTCTGCAAGTTGCTACATTGAAAATGTTGTCCAATCAACTCAATTCAACTTGACTTTTTTGAAATTGAGAATTGAACAATTCATCTCCTTTAGAACCTGATGCATACCTGATGTTTAGTTATCAACACTGAAGCCATTGGCTTTGCACAATTTGGTCTAAATCGATAGAAATCATGAAATCAAAGCTCGACATTGCCAAGCTTGGAAAACAAATACCACAATCTCTGTTTCACCAACAATTACCTCTTTTTCTTCACAGACATACTTCTATACAACCGACATAAGCCCAAGTTAGTTTAACCCTTAACACCCTAATGTCATTATGCATATTCTCCATACTGTTCTTTATACACTTTCTAAGGTGCTCATAAGGAGATTTTGTTTACTGTTCTTTTGTTGGTAATCATTTCCTTCGTTCTCGTGACCTTAGTGTGTGATTCAGGGGTGATATAAAGCTCCTTCCTACAAAATAAAGAACTGTTAAAAGACAAAATAAACAAACATGATCAAATGAAAAAGTCAGCCATATAGCTTTCACATCACACTAAGCCTTCACAGTTGTTGTTTTTAAAACAAAAGCTTAAAAATAAGGTAATCAGATGTACACAGGGGGGCTTGTGTGAGCAGCTAGCAGAATGGGATCATCAACAGCTCTAGTGTATTCAGTTCTCTGCAAACTTCCCATGCATGTAACAAATGGAAGATGCTAAAAAGAAAAACCAGATATAGCATTGATAGTGTCCCTATCTTTTCATGTTAAACAAGAAAAGTTCATATGCTTTTTACCTAGGACAATTTTACCTTGTTTCCCTAAGACAAGTCAAGTCAACTCATGCAAATCATGTCAATTGGTCAACATTTATTACCCTTCATTTACTACCCTCTAGTGCTTGTAGGGTATAACTTTGTTTTTCCACAAGTCAGCATCAACTTAACCAAAAATGTATAGAGTCAACCCAAGCAAATCATGTCAATTTGTTAACATTTACCACCACCATTTAACCCTTAAATGTGTATTGTGTTCTTCTGCAAATTGATTTTGGGTGAAATGGATCTACTTATGAACTAAAAACAACTCAACCCCTGCGTATCATGTAGATTTGTCAGCATAAACTATCCCATTTAACACATGAGTGTTTATCGTGTTCTTCTGCGGATTGACTTCCAATACAGATTGACTTCACTATAAACAAGTCAAGTCAAACCATACAAATTGTCACTTCCTCAATATTAGTACCCCCATTTAACACTTAAGTTTGTATGGTGTTCTTGAGCAGATTGACATGCGGTGAGATGGATCTTTTCAACAAAAGATGAGTCAGGTTGACCTGAGTGAATTGTCCCAATTCTTCCACATTTATTACCCTCTAACACTCAAGTGTGTATGGTGATCTTCAATGATTGGACTTACAGAGAGACCAATCGACTTAACTGAAGACGAGTTGCGTTAATCTGTGTTCTTCTGCGATTTGACTTACAGTGAGACAGATCAACATAACCAAGGATGAGTCAAGTTGAATCGAGTCAAATTGTGTGCAGGTTCATCAATATTATCTTCTCATGCAAATTGACTTCTGGCTGTTTCACACTCAAAGAACAAGGAAGGTTCAAGTTGCCACCATCACACTAGCTTGTGCCCCCCAGCTACCAGCATGTTAACATAATTCAACTTCCGCAGGGTAGATTAATCAACTACCCCTGATGAACCAAGTCAGTGGGGTGTATTGGACATGTATGCAAATAAAAACAAAACAACTTGTGGACCGTTGCATCTGTGGAAAATATTCACCAACATTCAACTAGCACTCTAGCTCATTTCCACAGATGAATCCTGTCACTGCATTATTGCTATGTTCTCAAGAAACCTGTACTGATTCACAGCCAAAACAATGCAACCCTGATCATGTATGCAAGAAGACAAATTCGCAACGGAAATCCATGGGGCGAAGCGGCGGAAATTGAAGATTCATGAAATATTCAAACACAATGGAAATTTCAAAGTCTCTCCAGCAGAAATGTTGCCTTAGAATACCTCAAGACTTTATTGTAGCCTCTATTTTGCTATTATAAAACAGATGCATGTCATTGACTTGGAGAGATTGCCTCACAAAACACTAATTAGTGATATTAAAGCCCCATTCAAACCGCTACAACTTGTTTTGAATCGCGAACAAAATCAAGAGTTCACCATTTTAAGATAAGAAACAATACCTTTCGCCATTTCTTGCGCGCGAGGTGTTTCTCGACACGGATGCTTTGAAACTTAATTGTTAGCTTCACTGATCAAAAAGGACAAATTCCTCTCCGAACTCGTCTGAAGAAGTAGAATAAATTATAAATTGGGTTCAGCTGGGTAAATGAACTGAAAAGCTTAGTTATGCAAATATCTAGACGACCTGGAGAGACAAGAAACACCGGAATGAGTAATGTAGTTTCCGCAGCTGAACCTCTAAAAGAATAACTATTGTCCAAAAAAAACACTCTTGGTTTATAAGCACTTCCTAGCCCTAGGCATCAAACCGCTTGTAGTGTACGATGTAGCTTACAGCCAGCGCCTAAATATCTTACGTTAACCAAGGCAGCTTAATTAGCGTAAATCTTTTTATTGATGTCTCGAGGACAGACTTGATTTCGCATGACGAACGAACTGATGCAACTTTTGTAATTGGTTCGCATAAACATGGCTATGGTCTAACTCAGTAATACTCACAAGGAAGATTGATTCACGATATTCCATACGATGAAAGGGCGATACCGAATAAACGAAATCAACTTTGATAAGATATTAAAAAAACACTCACCTTCGATCGAACACTTAATCGCAATCTTCTGACGTACTCGATCACACTCAGGCCTGTTTTCTCCCTTGCGGTCACGTTTTCAATCAAATTTTCTCTCTGAGTGAGTGAACATCTGAGCAAGACAAAAGTTCTATTCTTGAAAAGCAATTGAAAACGTCTGAAATATAGAAACAGCACGACCTTTTCAGCTCATACGGGAAGTCACGGCTGAAATTGGCTACACACGAACGCTAGCTGTCAATCATTTGTTAAGCGAAAGCCGCGGGCAAGACGCGGGAAGCTTGCTACTTGTCAAAGCTTCTCGAATCTTCTCTAAATGTTTACTCAAGATAATCTCTTTGTTTTTCTCAATTAGTAGCCTCATGATACGTCAATTATTTGCGTTGACGTTTTAATGAACAAAAGATCCACTAGTTTTGCACGGGATAGATATTTGATCCGTCGAGGCATGATAATTTATGCAATAACAATAAACAAATATACCCTTTAGAACAAAAACAGGAATTAAAGGTTGTAAGAGCATATCCATCTCTTTTTAAAGGAGGGTTAGTATTAATTGTGAAAAAAGAAAAAGAAAGTAGAAGAGTAACCCAAAAAACTCAGGAAGGAATAGAATGTCACATTGGGGGAGAGAAAAACACCACCACCCATCCCCTCATTCCCTTTTTCTGCCCTCATGTTTTCTCAACGCAGTCGAATAAGGAAAACCAACAACAGTTTTATATTTTTGCGTGGTTTCCTTTCGTACGCAATATCCGCTGATTTTTTTCCCTTTGCACGCGCGAATCTGCGCGAGATCGCGCGAGTAGTATCGCGATTGGCATGCTTTGCATAACAGCGAACGTCCCAGTCAAGGGTTCAGAAACAAGATGGACGACATATATGCTGATTAAAGTTAAACAAAAACTTAAATTTGCAGCTATGATTTCAACATCAAACTTAAAAATACTTTCTAGACTGACTCTTTCTCAATGCTTTGTGACAAGAAGCCTTCGAACCAGCGCGATCGCTGTTCAAAACACGCAGAAGAAAGAACTTGGCGATCGACAAAGGCTGGTCATCTTGGGAACTGGTTGGGGAAGCTACAGCGTGTTGAAACAAATCGACAAGAAACTATTTGATGTTATTGTGGTCAGTCCTCGTAACCACTTTCTTTTTACACCGCTGTTGTGTAGCACAACCGTAGGAACGTTGGAATTTCGAAGTATTATCGAGCCGGTGAGAAACACTGGCTTTAGAGACGAGCATCACTTTCAACAAGCAGAGGCCGTAGAGTTGCTTCCAGATGAACATACGGTGGTCTGCAAGAGTACTTTGAACGGTGATCGATACGATTTGAAGTACGATAAACTGGTCATTGGCGTAGGAGCTGTTAGCAATACATTTGGCGTTCCGGGCGTTTACGATCATGCCTTCTTTCTCAAGGAAATTTCGGATGCAAGGATGATCAGGAATCAAATTCTCAAAAATTTTGAATTGGCAATGCAGCCCGGCGTCAGCGAAGAAGAGAAAAAGCGCCTGCTACATTTTGTCATAGTTGGGGGTGGCCCCACTGGGGTGGAGTTTGGTGCTGAGTTGTATGACTTTGTGAAACAAGATGTGACAAGGCTGTATGTTCATGAGCGCAGCAATGTGAGAGTGACTCTGATTGAGGCAAGGCAGATCCTGCCATCTTTTGATGAAAAACTCAGAACCTTTGCAGAAAGCAAGATGAGACAGAGAGATCAGTTTGAACTTCTCCAGAGCAGTGTAACTCAAGTATGTGCTGATCACATTCAGTTGAAAGATGGAGAAAAATTGCCTTGTGGTTTGGTGGTGTGGTCAACTGGCCTTGCTCCGAGGCCATTCACTGGTAAGCACAGCAGGCTTTGGAGTCTTTATCAACTGAAGTTAACCCTTTAACTCCCAAGATCTGACTAGTAATTTTCCCCTCTCGTTGCTACACATTTCCTTGTCAATTAGTTATGAGAATTTGGTGTTAGATCAAGATAACAATTTGTACCTGATAAGTTTGCTTGTTCTCAGAACCTGTTTGCTATATAATGTATGGAAATTATAGGGAGAAATTACATGTTCATCACTTCTAGGAGTTAAAGGGTTAAAAGTAATGAAGGATTGCTTTGGTTTTCATGTCACCTTGTTCTTTGATTGGTCTAGAAAACTTTTGTCATCCTCATCAAATGAGATGCACATATTCTTTGGATTTGATCATTCATATAAATTTTGAAGGGTTTAGGCAGCTTTTAAGTACTTAGTTTGAATTCTCATTAGCTCTTTATGTTATTTTTTTTGCTTTGATTGCCTATCATAATCAAGCTTTCATATATAAGCTGTTTTTTGTGTCTCCCCTCCATTTCTAAATCAAATTGGATTGGAAAACAAAATGCTATTACTCCATTCATTATTTTGCCCTGTTTGAGGGAAGATTTGTCAATAACACAAATGACCAAAAAAGTTAACAGATGGGGTCATTAGAATTTACATACAAAAACAGGAGCATGAGAACATAACATAAATTTAAAAAGGATTAACAGGCTGCACAGCTAGCAGTATTGTCTGCTCATCACCACACACACAAGAGCAACACGTCCTTTCAGCAATAAGGGGCTAGGAAGGGAGAAACTTAAAAATCACAAGTTCAAGTTCAATGTAAGAGAAGAATGTGTGTTTATCAAAAATACAGACTATGTATCAGAGCTGACACCTCTGATTACTGCACGTGGGTTTGCAAGCTAACTTAGCTAAGTAACCCAAAATCAAACCAGAAAGACAGTGATGATCTATTGAAAACTAAATACCCATCACTAGCTAAATTTCGACAATGTTTGCTCATGTCAAACCTTATGAAAAGTGACAAGTGATCAAATAGCTACTTTTTTATTTGTAGTTTCAATTAAATTTTTTTTCGCATTTATTTTATTTTAGCTTCAGTTAAACTACCCAAGAACAACAACAGTCAGCTGGTAGTTGATAAGTTTCTCAGAGTCCAAGGAATTGATGATGGCTCAATATTTGCAATTGGTGACTGCTCCTTTATTGAGGCCAATCCATACCCCTGCACTGCCCAGGTAGCAGAGAGGGAGGGCAGCTATGTGGCCAAATCCCTGGGGCTCTCAGCTCAAGGGAGGGGCTCAGAGGTGGAGCCCTTCTCCTGGAGGAACATTGGTATGCTGGCTTATCTTGGAGATTATCAAGGACTGGCTGATTTTCCCACAAGCAAGTTGCAAGGCTTTAAATCATGGATTCTTTGGAGATCAGTGTACTTTACCAAACTTGGGAGCTGGAGGTTGAGATTTCAGGTACCTTTTGATTGGATGAGAACCTTCATTTGGGGCAGAGATGTTTCTCAGTTTTGAACAGGCCTTAACACTTTCACTCCCAGATCTCAATAGTAATTCTCCTTACTGACTGCCATATAACTGTTAGGATGTTAGTTTGGAGAATTTAGTGCATCCCTTTGTTCTCATCACTTTTCTGCTCGATATTGTACTGATACTGCAAATAGAAATTCTGCCTTGGTCAGTCATGAGAATTAAAGGGTTAGCATTTTGCCACAAAAAAAATGTGTAAGCAATGGGATAGGCACAAGACTGGTTAATGTTAAGGATAACAGTCACATTTCATGCATATATGGACCAAGGAAGAGGAACTATAACTCAAATTCTGGAATGCTCACAAGTACAGCTCTTTTCAAATTCTCTTTCGGCATCACAAATTAATTTCTATTCACATGAACTTACTCAAGGTAAAGGCAAGTGTGGGTAAAACAAGTTTTGTACAGTAAAATATGTAAATATGTTTATATAAATATAAATACAATGCATAATAAGAGAAGCACAATGTATGAACCAGCTCTTCAAATCTTTATCTTTACATAAACTGAATACTTTATCACGAATTCATTTTTATTCTAATTTAATATTTGGTAGTTCAAACATCAATTCATTGGCCAGAGATTGTAATTCACATACATTTTGCATGAAGGCATCAAGTGAGCATAATAATATGTCTTTATTGCTTACATTAAATATGATAATGAAGCAATTGAGTTGACCATAATTTTTTTAGAAGCTTGTGACATCTCTAACATATAGACTAGAATTATCCCATTCTATTCTAATTCAATAAACTACTGTTACACAACAGAGATCTAAATCTTGCATTTATAGATTCATTCAGTGTCAATAAAGTGGTCAGTAAAGTAATCATTTTAGCATGGTTTGTAATGTTTTCAAACTGCCTGAATTGTTTGGAACAAATAAAGTAGATGTACCTTTTTTTAACCTCGTAGAGTGGTTTAGATAGTTATGCTAATTTAATTATCCTTGCTTTCTCTCTCAATTTACTGCGCATTGTATTTGCTTTCCTGGACCTTTCCAGTTCCCCGAATTTTTCACTTTTGCATAAGCATGCATCACACCCAGGTGTCAATGTGTTAGAGAATATCTCTAACTGACTTCAAGGGGAGCAGGGGCCCCACTTGACTAAATATCAGACACGTACAACCAGGCAGTAGTTTATAAAAATATCCTAACTTAAATATCACGTGATCATTGCTTCCTCTCAGTTAATAAATCAGATGAATTTGATGAATTTGATTTTAAATCTGGTTTGTTGACTGTTACCTTAAAATGTTTCTTCCCACAGCTTCGTGCAGTTAGTAAAACGAAGTACAAAAGTACACAGCGCAAGTGTAGCAGAGGAGTGAAGAACGAGGGAGGTTTGGGTGGGGTCGTGTAATTTGCGCGACCCGTCGCAAACCTCTCTCGCTTTTTACTCCGCCTCTACAAAACATCGCGCCCTTTACTACTTTGCTACGCTTTACTAGCTGGACGCCCGGAACAGGCCACCCTCAGTTCAGATATTATAGCAAACTTTAATGATTGAATACAGATGTACTCTTACTTGGAACGGTTTGTCAAATGAGGCTGAGCAAACAATTAGTTTAAGCAATTTTTTTAAGCAATAATACATCGGATACGATTTATTATGAGACATTTTACTGTTCATTTCTTAAATTAATTAACTCTTACAGTAATAATAATTATAGTGCTATTATATTTTCCAGCAGTCGTAGTGAACGGCTACTTGGGAGAGCACTTGTTAGTGATAATGGAAACCGTGGACATTTTTCATGCCGTGTTGCATTTGGGTTCACTTGTATTCTCCAAAGAAAGTCAATGAAACTAGTGTCCCTTCTAGTACAGGTCATAGGAAGCTCCAGCTCTTGTTCAATTATTTTCTTAGACTTGACCGTCTAACTCCCGTG